TTTTTTTTTTTGGCTACACCACTCGGCTTGTGAGATCTTAGTTCTCAGACTAGGGATCAAACCCACGTCCCCTGCAGGGGAAGCTCAGAGTCTTAACCAGTGGACCACCAGGGAAGTCCCTGTCCTGTTTCACTGTGGGAAAATTGCAGTGTTAAATTAGTTTTTGAAATATTTTATCAAATTTTAGCATCCCATAGTCTTAAAGACATACACTAAATGCTTTTTACTTTATCACACATCTCTCCTGTCTTTTTCGTTTTCTCTCTATAGCCTTGATCTTCCTATACCACCTGGCTTGTGGGATCTTAGTTCCCAGACCAGGGATCAAACCCAAGCCCCCTGCAATAGAAGCTCAGAGTCTTAACTGCTACCACCAGGGAAGTTCCTTCTTCATTATTCTTAAGCAATGCCAATCCCTCGAGGGCACCATCTTGAGGGGTGTGCCTGGGGGATGCCCGAGGTGGGAGATTGGCTGTTGAACAGAATGGGGACCCGCGTGGGAGTCATGGAGTAGGGAATGCTCTCTTAGGCTCTGGCACCTAATGCTTTGCAGCAGGCTGCTCAGTAATTAAGTTTTAAGCCGTTACTATGCACTGGGTGCCAGGGAGAGCAGAGACTGGGACCGAGTCGCTCACAGTCCCCCTTGCAGCTCAGTCCCCTCCCGCAGCTCTGGCTTTAGGCGGGGATGCAGAGCAGGTGCTGTGTCCACATGAGGAGCACCTTGAAGGGCTGGGTGGTCCAGGTGGGCCTCCCCGAGCAGCTTGACCTGAAGGAGACAGCAAACAAGTCCTGGGCAGAGGGCTGGACCTCCTCCTAGGAGAAAAACTACAAGTGCATTCACAGACCCCACAGGACGCAGGAGCTGGCCCCTCGGAGTTCGCAGCTCGACGGCCGGATGAGGGCTCTTCCTGCTGTATTCCAGGCCCGGGACCTGATCCCACACGCCTGGCCCTCCTGCCAGGGAAGCGCTCCAGGGCTGCAGTGGATGGGTGGTTGTTGGGGCTGTCCAAATGTTATTGCAGGGGCCAGGGACCCAAGGGACTGGCAGTGTTATCTGAGCACGAGGAAGGGAAGGTTTGAAAAGGCTATAGGCCCTGTGGGGACAGAGAGACCACTTCTGTAGGAAGGCCCAGGGATCAATGCAGGCAGAGCCCTGGTGGTGGCCAGGGTGGCAAAAATTTTCTCCAGCATCCAAGCATTTACAGAGCTGTGGAGCCGCAGGCTGAGCACTCTGCCTGTTTGTCTTTTTTTAAATTTTGTTGGCATTAAAAAAAAAAATTGTTTGGCTGCACCACTCTGCATGTAGGACCTCAGTTCCCGGACAAGGATTGAACCCGTGTCCCCTGCATTGGAAGTGCGGCATCTTAACTACTGGGCTGCCAGGGAGATCCCTACCTGCATCGTATCTTAACTTTCCTCATGGGGAAACTGAGGCACAGAGGGGTAGCCTGGCCACTGGGGACACCCCTGTGCTTTATCTCCCTTAGACCCCGCTGGGTCTGGAGCCTCCTCAGGGCCTGGGGGAAGGTCTTCATTTCAGAGAGATGAGGTGGACACCACCTCTGCCCACCCGCTCTAGGAGGCCCGTCCTGGTTCCTGGTATGTTGGGGCTCTTGGCTGAGCTCCCCAGGCACCTGCTATGACTTGCTCATGCCAAGCCTGTCTCCCCCATCAGGCCAGGCTCCTGGCTCTGGGTTGGGCCTGTGTTGACAGGAAGTGCATTGGGAAGATGGCAGGTGACCCAACCGGACCCTGTTCCTGTCCAGCCTCCTGGTGTCCCACTTGGTGACCGTGGGGGCGCTGGGCCACCTCCCAGAAGCGGAAGCAGGGGCCGTGTTGCCCTTCCAGCAGCATTTTGGTTGTGCATGTGGTTGCAGAGCGCCTACTGTGCGCTCAGAGCCCTGTGCCCCGGACACAGAACAGCACAGATTCAGATCCCTGCACTGTAGGTCGACCTTCTCCTGGGGATCAGAGGAAATGCACCGGCTGACAAGGTCCACCATATTAGAAGGTGGTGGGTACTTGGAGGACCCTAAGGAAGGGAGAAGAGAAGGCAACTGAGGAGCTTTGTTGTCTTACTTGGGAGTTGGAGAAGATGAACCCTGGAGAGAAACCTGAAGGAGGAGAGGAAGGGACCCATGTGGGTGTCCGCAGGCAGAGAGAAGAGCCAGTGCAAAGGCCCTGAGGCAGGAATTCAAGGGCTTGGAGTGAGAAACCAAATAAGCCCGTGTGGCTGGCGGGGCGTGAGTTGAGATCAGAAGGGGGGGGAGGAAACTTAGTAGGGCTCTGTGGTGTTGGTAAAGACTAGGTCTTATTGGGGTGAGGTGGGAGCTCTGGAAGATTTCACGGAGAGATGGCCGGGCTCTGGCTTTAAGAGGGTCAGTGCTCGGGGGTGGTGGGAAAGCATGATTGTAGGAGCTTTCTTACCTTGGTCTGATGCTGGAGTCTGGCACATGGTCCTCAAGTGACGAGGAGCCCAGGGAGAGAAGGCAGGCGGTGAGGGATGAGCCTGGCTGACTCCTGGACCTTCCGCTTGGGCACAGAGCGTATGATTTCTGCTGTCCACTGACCTTGTGGGGAAGATGTCATGGCTTTCCAGTACATCTCCTGCTCATCTTTGACTCGCACAAAGGGGCTGGCAGAAGGGGAGGCTGCCAGCACCTGCTGGGTCCCCTAAACAGAACCTGGCTCTGACAGGAGAGGAGGTCCAAAATGCAGGATGGCGTGCCTGGTGATGTGGAGTCAGGAAAGGATCCCTGGAAGAGGCAGCAGGCAGGCAGGCCCTGGAGGAGGAAGTGAGTTGCATCAGGCCTGGCAGGGCAGAGGTTTTGCAAGGGACAGCGCCCATGTCCTGGTCCCCAACCCTGTTCCCGTCTTCCATCCCCCTGCACTCCTGAAAGGGGGAGGGGTCTCTTGCGAATGCTGAGCCCTCGGCCTTGAACCAGAAGAGAACTGAGGTTTGCTGTGGGGGTTGGAGGACCGTTCCATTTTTGCAGGTGGCTGCAGGAAGAGCAGCCGAGAGTAGCCGAGGATTTCCTCCTGTTCCCGTGGAGGGCTGGAGCCTGACCGTCCTTGGGAACTGGGTCAGCTGATGGGGGTGGGGTGGTTGATGCCTCACCCTCCAATCACTCTCCTCAGTGCCTTGCTTCCCAGTGACCAGTGTCTGTATTGATCTGAGCCCACACAGTCCCCCGACCCCTGCAACGGAGGTTAGAGGTGCAGAGTCTTCCTGTGGCCTCACGAAGCCCCTGTGACTTGAGAGCCACTACCTGAAGACAGATTATCCGAGCTCCAAATCCCAGCTCCACTGGTGAACTTGAGCCAGCTTGCTTCACCCCCCTTTGGCCTCAGTTTTCCCATCTGTGATATGGGCATCGTGGAGATGCCTACCTGCTAAGCTGCTGATTTGTGAAGAGCAAATGGGACCACAGACAGGGCCTGGCCAGAGGAACCAAGCATTTGTTAGGTGACAAATGGAATGACAGACCTTGCACTCATGACTTTCTGCTGTGTTATGCCTCCAGGCAGAGATTCTCGACCTGCCTGGCCTTTCTCTGTTGCAGGGCTCTTTCTCCATCCTTTGTTCTGATGCAGCTTTAGCTATGTCTGTGCTGAGATTTGTGTAGCCAGGTTTCCTCCTGGTGGACATGAAGGCTATTTCCAGTTTTTTACACTGAGAAGCAGTGCACATCTTTGCATCTCTGTCATGAGCTAGCTCTTTAGGCTGTTTGCCAGCCAAACTTATTTCCCTCTTTGTAGCATCACTTGCAGGAGCCATGATCTCTGGGCCTAGAAGGTTCCCCCTACTCCAACATTTACTATGAAATTCAGATATATGGAAAAGTCAGAAATTGTATAGTGAACACCCATCAACTCAGCACCTGTGTCCTGCGGTAAAAGTTTTTTTTTCTTCCTGCCTTACCCACATCTCTGCTTTGGATTTCTCTACCTTGATGACAGGACCAGCACTGTCATTAGTCTGTTGTTGTTGTTGTTGTTGTTTTAATATATTTTGATTTTATTTATTTATTTGGCCGCACCAGGTCTTAGCTGCAGCACGTGGGATCTTCATTTGGGGTGTGTGGGCTCAGTTGCCCCGAGGCATGTGGGATCTTGGTTCCCCAAACAGGGATTGTACCCGTGTCCCCTGCACTGGAAGGCGGGTTCTCACTGGACCACCAAAGAAACTCCTCTAGTTACTTTTTTATTTCCCTTCATCTCAGTGTCAGTAATGGCTTTCAGACACCTCGGGCTTAGAAGGCCTGAAGAGGCCAGAAAGCATTTCCTCTGAGAGGGTCATGTCTAAGGGCCCCATGAACAGCCAGGAAGGAAGGAAGGATAGCGAGAAGGGCTTTGGTGAGGCCAGCCGTGGTGGGGGTGCCTTGGGGAAGGAGAATGGTGAGTCACAGGGACATGCGCCGGGGATCTTGCTACCCTGGAGGGCGCTGGTGGCTTAGCATCCCACCAGGGCAGCAGCTTTAGTCTGTGACCCACACGAGGGAGGTTCTGTGTCACCATCCAGGACTATCTCATGTTTAACACCAGAGCAAAAGCTTCATCAGTCATCCATCCCAGCGCTCCAAGGGATGCAGGTCGATAAAGAATTAAGAGTAATTGCTGGTCACACCCAGCTGTTGGATGCTGGTTTTTGTGGGGCTTTTTATTTTTGTTTTACTTGTAATATGTCATGACTTAAACTATGTAGTTCTGCAAAATGCTTCATGAGAATGTGCATTCCACAGAGTCAGCATTTTTGCCACTTTTCACCTTGTGGAGTAGCCGAGGTCTAGAAGGGAGCGCGATCTGTGGGAGGGCCCCCCTCAAATACCTGTCAAGAGAATGAATCCATTGCTCCCCAGTTTCCTGGAGGGCCTGTGAATGAGTCTTCACTTTCTCTACTTGACAAAGCTCTTTTCCCAGGAGGCCATCTGGTTCCCCCCGACCCTCCACAGCAAGACTGCTTCTCTTTCTCACTTGGAGCATCTTTCTTCCCTTTTCAGAATATGCCGAGTTTTTGCACTGCAAGTCCAGAAAGTTTACAGACTTTGAGGAAGTCCGACAGGAGATCGAAGCGGAGACTGACAGGGTCACGGGGACCAACAAAGGCATCTCCCCAGTGCCCATTAACCTGCGGGTCTACTCGCCACACGGTAGGAAGCAAAGACCCCTCACTTGGGCCGGGGAAAGCTGACAGTGGGTCAGTCACGGGTTGGGGCAGCCTCACTCTCATGAAGAATACGCCTCCTCCTGGTTTTCCTCACACATACACAGAGCCCTCTTGATCCACATCTGATAGGAACGTGGTATGGAGAAATCGACCTCGGCTCCAATAAAAACAGCACGCCAGGGAGACTGTCGGGGGTGGTGGGGCGTGGGGCGAATTAATTGGAGCACGTATATCCATTTTAAAGGAGTAACCACAGCTTGGCTCCCCGGTAAATCTAGTCCACCCAGTGATGCCAGCCCAAGGCAGCCAGGTCTTCTGGTTCCTCGAGAGGAGGCAGAAAGCCAGATTTTTCTGCATAAGGTCCAGATTTAAAACTGTATCGTGTAAACAGAACAGGCAGCCTGTAGCCACACACAGCCTCTGACTCAGCAGCATGGACTGCTGACTTAAATGGTGTTTATTGAATATTCCAGCCGACTTCTAACACCTCAGTATGGGTTCTTTGTGATTTTTTTTTTTGTATATGAACTTTTATTTATCTTATTTAAAAATTTTTGGCCACACCCCACAGTGTGTGGGACCTTAGTTCCCCAGCTAGGGATCAAACCCGTGCCCCCTGCATTGTGGGGTGGAGTCTTAACCACTGGACCCCCAGCGAAGTCCCTGTGATGAGTTTTTTAATATATTTATTTTCAAATAAATGATTCCTGTGCATAATGCATATTCAGAAGTTATAAAAAAGGTATATCCAGCAAAAATCTACTTTCAAAAAATTACTTCCAAATTACAGATATATTTCATGTTTTTCAAATGCCATACAGTGCATATGTAGGCAATTATGAATATGTGTGTACGTCACATATGTGTGTTTTGCTACTTTTACTCAAATCGTAGCCTGATAGAAAAGTTATTGATGTCTCTTCTTGTATGAGTGCATCTTCGAATGCGTTTTTATTTTTTTGGCCATACCACATAGTATGTGGGCATGTGGCATCTTAATCACCTACCAGGGATCGAACCCATACGCCCTTCATTGGGAGCACAGAGTCTTAACCACTGAGACACCAGAATAGTCCCTCAGAGTGTGTTTCTTACCAGAGAATCTTCTTTTTTGCTTTTAATTGGTATTGAATATTGATTGAATCAACGTGCTGAAAGTTATTTAACCTTTGAGAGCAGTTCCAATCTACACATGTGGGTATCCAGATTTAAAATGGTATTGCTAAGAATAATTATAGACGGAACATAACCTTTAAAGATTGTGAATCACTGTATTATATGCCTGAAACTCATACAGTATTGTACTTTAGCAATAGTTCAATAAGAAAAAAATAACAGTGACTTCACCAAAAAACAAACTGGAACTTCTCTGATGGTCTAGTGGCTAAAATTCCGAGCTCCCGGTGCAGGGGTCCCAGGTTCGATCCCTGGTCGGGGAACTAGATCCCACATGCTGCAACTAAGACCCAATGCACTCAAATAAATATTTAAAAAGAAAACAAAACTGTCTCACTGAAATAGAGTACAGAGAGAGTGTCCATAGGATGGGACCCTAGGAGGGAGTTACCGAGTCAAGAGGTGGGATCCAGTTGAAACACAGGAATAATCCTGAGGCCTGATGCCCAGCACTGGGGGAAGCAGGCCAGGTCTCTCCAGGGCTGTGCACGCCTCCCCTGCGCCAGCTCTTGACGGCCTCTCTCTCTGATTTCCCCCGTAGTGTTGAACCTGACCCTCATCGACCTCCCAGGCATCACCAAGGTGCCCGTGGGGGACCAGCCCCAGGATATCGAGTACCAGATCAAGGACATGATCTTGCAGTTCATCAGCCGGGAGAGCAGCCTCATCCTTGCCGTCACCCCTGCCAACATGGACCTGGCCAACTCAGACGCCCTCAAGCTGGCCAAGGAGGTCGATCCTCAAGGTACCCACCAAGCCCAATGGCAGCAGCTCCCTCTTCCCCACATTTCTTAGCATCTCGACTTGCCCCACATTCTCAACTCCGCATCACTGGCGATCTCTTTGACTCACAGTTTCCCCTAGAAAAGGCCTGGGACACTGCATTTCCCATGAGGGCCAGCTGTTCTAGGAGGGTGTCCACTGGGAGGCCAGTGTATGGCGGGCGGCATCCCCCCTTGGCAAGCTGGTCCCTGCTTTGCCTGCCTAGAGAGCTAGTGTGGGGAGTTGGGTGTAGGAAGAATGCAGGCCTCTTTGGGCACAGATGGGAGTCCAGATCCCACTTTGAGAAGTTATTCTTCCCCCTTGAGGCTTTGTCCCTCCTGTTGAAATAAGAACTGCAGTCCTGATTTAGAGAGCTGCCAAGAAGACCGGGGGTCTCTGCATCAGTGCTCAGGGGCCAGCGGGAAAGGTGAAAGGATGATGAGGTAGTGAAGCCAGTGGAGCAGTAGGGAGTGGTGGAGACTTGGGCATCTCTGGGTCATCTCTGGCTCTGGGCATTCATTCAATAAATGTAATTTAAGCCCTGGCTGTGTGTCGGGATCTGTTACAGCCTTGGGGACCCTGCATGGGACAGAGTTGACAGGGAGCCCTGCCACCAGTGGGAGCAACAGACTCCAACAAGGAAATATGCACGTGGGATAACTTCAGGTAGTGGTAAGCACTAGGAGAAAATGGAGCCCATTGAAAGAGTCTGGGGTGGAGGGGGGCGGCCTGAGGCCTCTGAAGATGGGGGTTTTAGGCAGGACCAGAAGTATGAAAAGAGGCAAAGTCGAGGAATGCAGACAGTGGTTGCTGAAGGGGCTGGGGTGCCCAGGACACAGTGGGAAGGCTGGTGTGGCCGGAGCAGAGTGAGCTAAAGGACAAGATGAGAGGCTGCTGGGAGTGCCTTGGCCAGTCTTTGGGCCTTGGGTCTTTGGGCTGCGGTGGGGAGTTGGGTGTATTTTGACAGTGGTGGAGGGTTAGCAGAGTCTGACACACACACAAATACATTTTCCGAATTGTCTGCCGACTGCTGGACTCCCACAGCATTCTGGAAGCAGTTAGGGACCAGTGAGGAGCTGAGGGAGACAGGCTCTGTGGCTCACACTCGCCGGTTCACAGGCCTGGGAGACGGTCAGTGAAGGTGGCTCCTTTCTTGCCTTGGACCATGAGCTTCTCGAAGCTCAGGGCTCTGCCAGCTCCACCCCCAAGGTCATCCAGGTTCACTTCCCTGGGAGGACACCCCCTGCCCTTAGCCCCCCAGGCCCTCCTTGTCCCCCATGTCCAGTACCAGGACATGGTTGTGACTATGACTGAAGAGGCTGACCAGGCAGCAAGGAAGTAGGGATGAAAATGGTTAAGCATCATTGGTGAACTAGTTGCTGACCTTCTTCCTGAAAAAAAGTAGCTGTCTAACTTTGAAAGTATTCATGATGGTTACCCCTAAATGTCACTGTTGTGAAATGTCACCGTTGTCACATCAGACCCTAAACTGACAGCTCCTCTCCCCCTGCAGATGCTGGTGGCCCCACTTGGCAAGCATTCTTTCAGAGTTTGTTCTTCCATGTCAAAGTGTTAGTCACTCAGTCATGTCCAACTCTTGGCCACCCCATGGACTGTAGCCCGCCAGGGTCCTCTGTCCTTGGATTTCTCCAGGCAAGAATACTGGATTAGGTTGCCATTCCCTTCTCCAGGGGATCTTCCCTATCCAGGAATCGAAGCTGGGTCTCCTCCATGGCAGGCGGATTCTTTACCATCTGAGTCACTGGGGAAGCCCCATAAGCTCACGTGTTAAAAAATGAGATGAAAAGAAAATGGGATGACCTTCCTTTGTTTTCCTGTTGTGTGAGTGTGTTTGCCTCTTGCCGTGGGGACATAGGTCGGTAGCCATCCATCGGACAGCCTACTGCTTCCTTTCTTTTGTTCTTGAACATTTGAGTTCTTTTTGATCTTTGACCTCCCCTCCCCCAATCACATCACATCCCTCTACCCTGGGCTGCGTCTCCCCTCCCCACCCCGCACAAGTTTTGTGGGTGTTTGCAGTGGTGGTTCCTTTGACCTCCGCAAAGGTGATGCCAGCTCATGATCTCACAGCAGAATGTGGGCAGGTGGGCACACCAGGGGGGACACGATTGGCACCTGCTTAATGCCCACTTTATCACCCCCCCCAGACCTCCCTGGGTTTCCCTCTGTCCCCTGCATGCGTCTCACACACACACGGCTAACATGGGGGGCCCTCGGGCACCAGTGGGGGACAGTTGATTGGCAGGGTTCCCTCGATTCAGGGCAGTTTGGGACAATTTGGGATGAGCAGGAATTCCACAGGATGGTGTCCACAGTGTCATTCTGGCCATTCATATGAGAGATAACCCTGGAAACAGTTGTCTCAGGTTGGCGTGTCACGTTGGATCTCTGCGTGCCACTCAGAAAGCACACAATGGAGATACTGACCTGGGTTCATGTTTGATAAGGTTGCCCCCTGATTCTGCAGCAGCAAGACTGGTCGTATGCATGACCGACGATGGCCAGCATTGATTGATTGAACATGTGCCCTGTGCCAGGTTTATTGTCATGGACATACCTCTGAGATGGGTGTGTTACTGCCTTCATTTGACAAGAGGGAAACTAGTGTCTAGGCAGGTGACGTCATGGCTTCTCTCAGGTCACATGATCTGGAAGTGGGGACCCAGCTGGACTCCAGGTGGCCTAGGGTTCCATGGCCAAGTTCAAGGCTTCCGTGAGCTCCTTGCTCATGGTGCCCTCTGATCTCTGTGCTCTTTCAGGCCTGCGGACCATCGGCGTCATCACCAAACTCGACCTGATGGATGAAGGCACAGATGCCAGGGACGTCCTGGAGAACAAGCTACTCCCCTTGAGAAGAGGTGCGGCCCAGGGGGCCTAGGGGTCATGAGGTGGGGGCAGGGGTTGATCAAGCTGGGTGGACTCAGCCACAGGAGAGCTGGGGCACCTCTGCTTTTGGAAAATGACTTGTTTGGTTGTTGTCTTGCCTGAAGCCTCAGCAGATGCTCACAAATTCATTTGCCACCCCACTTCCCCACTGCCCAGAAGAAACTGCTTCTCAATCCCATTGTAGACCCTTTTTCTCTGCCCAAGTGAACGCATGTAGCTTTTTCTTTTAAAAAAAAAAAAAAGATTTTATTTTTTGGCCGTGCTGGGTCTTCACTGCTGCATGTGGGCTTTCTCTAATTGTAGCGACAATCGGGGGCTACTCTTCGCTGCAGTGCGCAGGCTTCTCCCTGCAGTGGCTTTTCTTGTTCTGGAGCATAGGCTCTGGGGTGCACAGGCTTCAGTAGTTGTGTGACATGGGCTTAGTTGCTCCGTCGCATGTGCAATCTTCCTGGACCAGGGGGTCGAGCCTGTGTCACCTGCATTGGCAGGCAGATTCTTAACCACTGGACCACCAGGGAAGCTCTAGCTTTTTCTTCCGATGTGTGTACATTGTTTTTTCAGTTATACGGTGAAGAGCTACTCATTTGGGGAACAAAAAGAAGTGTCCAGGAGAAGAAAACCGAAATCACTCATCACTGAGTTTCTCCCTATAGTTACTACTCTGGCTCTCCTTCCTAAGAGTTCCCAAGGATTTATAACTTTTCTTTTTTTAGATTTTTTTTTTTTTTGGACAGGGACCATTTTTTTAAGTCTTTACTGAATTTGTTAACAATATTTCTTCTTCCTCTTCTTTTTTTTTCTGTTTTGGGATTTTGGCCATGAGGCATGTGGAATCTTAGCTCCCCGACCAGGGATCAAACCTACATCCCCTGTGTTGGCAGGCAGAATCTTAACCACTGGACGCCGGAGAAGTCCCTGTGCCTTTTAGTGTTCAGTACTCGCTATTAAGCATTTTCTCACGTGAAGAGAAAAATGTGAGGTGTTCCCCCCAGACCAGCCTCGTTGCTCATCACACACAGCTAATCATCACTATCCCGAATATCCTCTCCTGTTGTTCTTCCCTTCTTGGGGGATTATGAAGCAAATCCAGGCACCCTGTCATTTGACACATAAACACCTATGTTTCTATTCCAATGACTTCCCCCTCCGGCCACTTGATCTGTGTGCCTTGCTCGGGATCTGGCCAATTATAGTCCTTGTAAACCAGTAATTAGATCTAGACAGAGGCTGGTCAGTCTCGTGTTTAGTGGAGCTTCAGATTTTTAAAGAATTTTTATTTTTATTTATTTATTTTTTTCAAGAATTTTTATTTATTCATTCTGTTTTATTTATTTTGGGCTGGGCTGGGTCTTCCTTGCTGCATGGGCTTTTCTCTGGTTGAGGTGAGCAGGGCCTACTCTCCAGTTGTGATGCTCGGCCTTCTCATTGCTTCTCAGTGGCTTCTCTTGTCACGGAGCACAGGCTGCAGGTGCACAGGCTTCGGGAGTCGTTGCCTAGTGGCCCCAACGCATGTGGAATCCTCCTGGGCCAGGGATTGAACCCGTGTCCCCTGCATAGCAAGCTGGCTTCTTAACCACTAGACCACCAGGGAAGTCCCTGGATCCTTCTTTCTTGAGTTAACAAAAGGAACCACAAAACAAGCCAGACACCATCTCTGCCCCTTGCTCTTTGCCCTTCGCACTAATCTGGGTTCGCACCTTGCTGCCACTGATCCTCCATGTGACCATGTGGGCAAGGGGCCCCTCCTTGGCCTACCTCACTTCCCTCATCTGGAAGGTGGACTTGATGATAGATCCAGAGAGGATGAAAACCATCAGGTCTGCACAAGACTCAGCAGGATAGTTGGCTAGTGCCGCGCCCCTCCTCTCCAAAGAGGAGGTCCTCACTAAGAGAAGGGGTTACAGATATGTGTGTCTATCCTTTCTGCCCTTTCGCCCTAGGCCCAGTTGACCTTTCCACCTTTCATCATATGGACAACAGTAACACCTGTTGACTGAGCACCTCCCATGTGTTGGCCACCAGGCTGTTTTCTGCTTCCCACGACGCCCATTTGTGCACCCGTGCGGCGGGGTGCCTTGTGTCCACACTCGGGGCTCCTGGCTGTTTGAATCCCTCTTCCCTCATCCTCTTCCAACTCCTTTATGTCCAAATATTGTAGATCCTCTTTTCAAAGTAGTTTTCTTATGCTAAAAGTGGTTTTTTGTGTTTAAAGAAAATTCCTGAATGGTACCTTAAACTGTCATTTCGGAACCTGGCTCCCACCCGCCTCCTGTATAAGCCCCACTTCTCTTACACTTAGAATTAATTGTTGCTTATGTCTGTTCAGACAATTTTAATACAAATACAGTAATGTTGAAAAACCACCCATTCAAGTACTTCCAGTTATGTTTTATGTGGAAATCTATGAATCCCTAGAGAGTTCACTTTGGTGGCCACCAGACTTTGTTTCTTTGCCAACCATTGTTGTTCAGTCACTAAGCTGTATTTGACTCTTCGGGACCCCATGGACTGTAGCACGCCAGGCTCCCCTGTTCTCCACGGTTTCCCAGAGCTTGCTCAGATTCATGTCCATCGAGTTGGTGATGCCATCCAACCATCTCATCATCTGTCACCCCGTTCTCCTGCCCTCAGTCTTTCCCAGCATCAAGGTCTTTTCCAGTGAGTCAGCTCCTCGCATCAGGTGGCCAAAGTATTGGAGCTTCAGCTTCAGCATTAGTCCTTCTAATGAATATTCAGGGTTGATTTCCTTTAGGATTGACTGATATCCTTGTGGATCTTAGTTCCCTGACCAGGAGTCAAACCTGTGCCCTCCACATTGGAAATGCAGGGTCTTAACCACTGGACTGCCAGTGAAGTCCCCAGATATAATAGCTTTAGAATAAGTACTAATATCTGGATCGATCAGCTTTTCCCACTGGCCTTCTTTTTCATATACTGTTTTCTGTCTTTAAAACTCAGATTATGGATTTCATCTCCTCCCGAGCTTTCTCTCTCCAGCCCTCCTCATCATGCTGAGTGTAATCTCTCCTTCCTCCGAACACTTAGATTGCTCTGTGTTTGCATTCTCAGTGTTGCCTCTGAGTAATTCATAAGGCTTGTCACCTCATCTGTGAGTGACTTGTAGGGCGGGATCCATGTCTACACCAGCATGTTGCCCAGTCCCATGGCTGGCCTGTAGCGGGCATCTGGGTTCCTGGGCTTTCCAGGCACTGCCATGACCTGACCCTCTCTCTTCACAGGCTACATTGGAGTGGTCAACCGCAGCCAGAAGGATATTGAGGGCAAGAAGGACATCCGCACAGCGCTGGCAGCTGAGAGGAAGTTTTTCCTCTCCCACCCAGCCTACCGGCACATAGCTGACCGCATGGGAACCCCGCACCTGCAGAAGACTCTGAATCAGGTACAGTGAGGATTTTGTGCAGTTGCTCAGGCTGTGCACTGCAAAACGGCTGCATTCCACAGTGGTGCTGGCGTTAGTCTAGAGCAGCACTCGTTTTAGCAAAGTTGGGTTCAGTGAACATTTGAATCAGTGCCTGGAGAAGAGTCAGTATTGGTATTATTATTACCATCACTACTATTGTTACCGTTTTTTAAAATTTTTATTGAAGTATAGCTGGTTTACGATGTTATGTTGGTTTCTTCTGTGCAGCAAAGCAACTCAGTTATACATACATGTATTCCTTTTTTTTTTTCAAGTAGCTTATTTATTTAATTTATTTTTGGCTGCACTAGGTCCTTGTGGCTGTGTGGCCTTTTCTCTTATGGCGCTGAGCAGGGGTCTACTCTCTGGTTGCAGTGCACAGGCTTCTCATTGCATTGAGTTCTCTTGCTGCGGACCATGGGCTCTAGAGCACTGAGCCCGTACTTGTGGCTCACAGACTCAGTTGCTCTGCGACATGTGGTATCTTCCCGGACCGGGGATTGAACCTCTGTCTCCTGCGTTAGCAGGCGGATTCAAAAAGATACAGTGAAGTGCCGTGTGCCCCCTGCCTCCCACCCACCACTGTTAACACTGCCTGAGTTTCTCTCTGCCCATGAGTGCAGAAAGGACTTCTGAGAAGCACATTTCCCCCTTTATCCACAGTCATGGATGCCCCCCATTTCCTTTTCTTTTTTTTAACTCAACAGTATCTCCTAGAGATACTCCTAGATACTCTAGATACTCCTAGAGTTCTGTCCCTATAGAAGCCTTCTTCACTCTTTTTCGTGGCCCTGTAAAGCCTCTGAACAGATGGACCCTTGTCTGTTTAGCCAGGCTCTTTTTGGAGAGCCTCGTGGCTGGTTTCTGAGGCTCCCAGTCAATAAAGGGCTAATGTTTACACTTGATCTTAGCCCAAAGGCGAGAAGCTATTGGGCTGCCGTTTAATAGCATTGTTTTGCATATGTGCCAGGTTCTCTGAGAGTAAAATCCCCGATGTGGGGTTATGTAGCTGTGGTGTAGCAGGCAGTGTGGTCCTCCGTGGCCTTGGGGTTATGGGTTATCCCCCCTTGGTGCTTTATAGTAGCACCTCGGGCCTCAGGGTAACAGTGTAAAAGTTCTTCCCGCCTGCAGTGGGACACCATGCCAGCAGGGGAGCTGGGCCCTATCCTGGGGAAAAAGCATATTTCTTTCTTTTTTTTTTTTGGCCGCGCCACATGGCATGTGGGATCTTAGTTACCTGACCAAGGATCGAACCTGTGCCCTTGCAGTGGAAGCACAGAATCTTAACCTCTGGACCACCAGGGAAGTGCCAGGGGAAGGCATATTTCTGATTGGGGGTACTGACTCAAGACAAATCCCCAGATAAAGGCTAGAAACACTTCAAGTCTTAGGAAGTGATGAGGCCTGGCAGAGGGTGCAAAGGCAGAGCATACCTCTCAGGAGAACCAACAGGGAAGTGAGTGTCTGGTGGGAGGGGCCCTGCAGGAAAGGAAGCAGGGGGTCTGTCTGGGCAGAGGGGCGGGAGGAGGGGAAGGGAAGTAAAACTGCCCACAGGTGCCTGGGGCCTCCTCTGAGAGCCCAGCTGGCTTCCTGGGAGCCTGGGCCCACATCCTGGTGCTTCCCAGAACAGGGTCCCCCTGCCCCTCTATTGCCCCATGACCCTGTTTAGGATCATGCCCCAGAAAGGGGACAGGGACCAGAGTGGACTGCCACCCTTGGGGACCTGCAGCTCCCCCAGGAAGGGGCGCCCGGTCACAGAGGTTTTTGGAGTGACTGTCAGATTCATGCCACGATGCGTGAGGCTCCTTCACACCTTTTTCCTACATCAATAGATAGTTTGTCTTTTTTTTTTTTGTCTTGTAGGACAGATGGCCACACAGCAGTGCATTTCCATTTGGGTGGTTTGAGTTGATTTTATGGCTTTTATTTATTTTTTTCATTCTTTCTCTCTTTCTCTTTTGAAAGAGTATTTTTAAAAAGACAGTCCGGATACAATGAATGTTCCACTTCCTCCCATGCTGTGACAGGCTCCCCCGCTACCACCCCCAGGCGGCCCGTGTCGCCACTTCCTGGGCTGCTTTCTCAAGACTATAAACACTGGAGGGGCCGATGTGCCTGGACTGCTGGCCTCCCTCCTGCCTGCTCACCCCGCACGCCCCACCTCCTCTCTTTTCCTATTCTGTCCTTTCTGTCTTCCTTCTTGCCACCTGAACAGTTAATATGTTTACCGGCTGCTCTGTATCTGACTTTTTTCTGTTTTGGCCATGCCATGTGGCCTGCCGGACTTCGGTTCCCTGATCAGGGATGGAACCCATGCCCATTGCAGTGGAAGCGAGGAGTTCTAACCACTGGACCATCAGGGAAGTCTCTGCCTAGGTTTTTCTTGAACAGCTAATCTCAAGGCTCACTACCTAATCTTTTCTGCACCGCTGCTTCCTTTTAAAGTTTGTGAATAACAAACAAGTCCCCATGGTTAAAAACCAAACAGTAGAGGGGGGTCTGTGGTAAGGGTCCTCATGACTCTCATGAACCATCCTGCACTCTGTGCAGATGAAAATGTGTTCTCGCTTTCTCCCCATCTTCTCAGAAGGGATCACATCCTACATGTGTCCTGCGCCTTTTTCAGTGAGCTGTTTCTGTCATAGTTTGTAGGGCCCATTCCTGTGGTCTGTCCATACACCATGGCCTCTCTGTCAGTCCTCCCGTGCCTGGGTCCTGCAGTGGCTTCGTAGCCTTTAAAACTTCATTTATTTATTTCTTTGGCTGCATCAGGTCTTAGTTGTGGCACGCAGGCTTTGTTGCCTCACAGCCTGTGGAATCTTAGTTCCCCAACCAGGGATCAAACCCCCTACCCCTGCAGTGGAAGGTAGATTTTTAACCACTGGACCACCAGGGAAGTCCCTCCTAGACTTTGTTTTGTTTTCCAGTGAGCGACACTGGCTGTTCATGGCCAGCACTCGGGTCCTGCTGTCTTGACCAATGTGTGCACGGCCCAGTTGATCTGCCCTCTCCCAGGTCCCCGTGGGCTGTCTGCAGGCTTGCACTGCTGTGGACCAGGCTGTGTCATCTTCTCTGCTGCTCGGAGTTTCCATTCGTCCCTTGAGGCTGGGGATGGAGCAGGGCTGCCCCTTCTCAGCATCCTGCCTATGCTGACCTCTGACCTCTCTCCCACAGCAACTGACCAACCACATCCGGGAATCGCTGCCGGCCCTGCGCAGCAAGCTGCAGAGCCAGCTGCTGTCCCTGGAGAAGGAGGTGGAGGAGTACAAGAACTTCCGGCCCGATGACCCCACACGCAAGACCAAAGCTCTGCTGCAGTACGTGCCCCTCCCCCAGCCTGGCGCTCAAGGGCCTCCTCCCAGCCACAGGCTCCCCACCCATCCATCCATCTGTCTGTTCAGCAAACCCTTCACCAGAGCCTCCTGTGTTCTGGGCTCTGTTCTGAACACCAAGGTTGCTCCAGTGTGTGGGGCAGACTCCCCATGTGCTCAGAAAGAGGAGGGGAGAGGGATGAGACAAGAAAAGTAAATAAGACCATGTGAATAATCTGTGAAATGGCAAAATGTCAAAGTGGGGAAGGGGCTGGAGAGTGCCAGGGTAGGCTTAGGGTGCTGTTTAAAATCAAGTGGTCAGTGAAGAGTCAGGCAGAGACCTGAAGAGGTGAGGAAGGGGCTGTGCAGTCCTGGGGGTGGGGGCCTGGCCAGTGCAAAGGCCCTGAGGCAGGATTGCATCCAGTATGTTGGAGAAGGCCCACGTGGCTGGAGTGGAGTGAGTGAGGGGAGAGTAGGAAGAAATGAGGCCCAGGAGGGGACAGGGTAGACCCTGCAGGGCCTCGTAGACCACGGGGAGGACTTAGTTTTTGCTCTGAGTAAGGTGGGAGCCATGGAGTGTTCTGAGCCCTGGTAGGACCTGGCCTGACTCAGGTGTTCATGGGCGCCCCCTGGAGGCTGCAGGGAGAACAGACATGGGGGGAGGGTGCTGTGCCTTGTGCCAGCTACTCCTGCTTCAGTTCAGTTCAGTTCAGTCGCTGTCGTGTCTGACTCTTTGCGACCCCATGGACTGCAGCACGCCAGGCCTCCCTGTCCATTACCAACTCCTGGAGTTTACTCAAACTCATGTCCATTGAGTCGGTGATGCCATCCAGCCATCTCATCCTGTCGTCCACTTCTTCTCCCACCTTCAATCTTTCCCAGCATCAGGGTCTTTTCAAATGAGTCAGCTCTTCGCATCAGGTGGCCTAAGTATTGAAGTTGCAGCTTCAACATCAGGCCTTCCAATTAACACCCAGGACTGATCTCCTTTAGAATGGACTGGTTGGCTCTCCTTGCAGTTCAAGGGACTCTCAAGAGTCTTCTCCACCATCACAGTTCCAAGAGCATCAATTCTTCGGCGCTCAACTTTCTTCACAGTCCAACTCTCACATCCACACATGACCACTGGAAAAACCATAGCCTTGGCTAGATGGACCTTTGTTGGCAAAGTAATGTCTCTGCTTTTTAATATGCTGTCTAGGTTGGTCATAACTTTCCTTCCAAGGAGTAGGCGTCTTTTAATTTCATGGCTGCAGTCACCACCTGCAGTGATTTTGGAGCCCCCCAAAATAAAGTCACCCACTGTTTTTACTGTTTCCCCATCTATTTGCCATGAAGTGATGGGACTGGATGACATGATCTTAGTTTTCTGAATATTGAGCTTTAAGCCAACTATTTCACTGTCCACTTTAACTTTCATCAAGAGGCTCGTTAGTTCTTCACTTTCTGACATAAGGATGGTGCCATCTGCATATCTGAGGCTATTGATGTTTTTCCTGGCAATCTTGATTCCAGCTTGTGCTTCCTCCAGCCCAGCGTTTCTCATGATGTACTCTGCAGATAAGTTAAATAAGCAGGGTGACAATATACAGCCTTAATGTATTCCTAGGACAGTGCAGAGGACTGGGGTAAAACAGTTAGAAATGCTAAAGACAACCATAACACTAATAAATATCCTAGTTCTTTACCACTCACTTCGTCACAGCCTTAATCAGCAATACTCTTGAGACACTTTTTAAGGGCTGGGCTGCATTCTAAGGGGCCAGGCGTGGTTTTACCACATTTCATGAATTATGTGTACACTAAAAAAATCTTCACTTCTCTGAAAGCAAGTTTCAGGTGGATTACTATTCATTGACGGCATGTTTCTTTTTTTGTGGGGTGTCCAGGCTAATAGTGCATTTTGAGATTGATGCCTTTTTTGAGTTGATAAAGTCTTAAAACTCCTTAAATATCCTTACAGAGATGGAGAAACTGAGGCTTAGAGGGCAAACCCACCTGTCCAAGGCCTCATAGCCCATCAGTGGTAGGGTCTGCCCCAAACAGACTGGGAGGTGGTAGGAACTGGAGGAAGCCACCCAAGTGGTGTGGAGGTGCTCCATTTATATATCACAGTCCTGCTGGATCAGGCCAAACCTCAGAGCAGAGGTTGCTGAGCTGTGATCCCCACCTCCCCCACACCTCACTCTTTTGCAAAAGGGAGTGATAACTGCCCCTCACGTCCCCAGTTCAATGAATGAATGATGATAGTAGGCCTATGGAAGGGGCCTGGCATGTAGCGAGTGCTTGCCCTCGACAGCGCCTGGATTTTGTCTGTTTTTTTGACCCACACATACATTTTGTTCCCAAAAAAATAAAAGGAGGAAAGTAAGCCATGACTTGACTTGGGACATAATTCCAGAGCTGTGTCAGTACCTCTGCTTTGACATTCAGATTTTCTCTTTTCTCATAGGATGGTCCAGCAGTTTGGGGTGGACTTTGAGAAGAGGATCGAGGGCTCTGGAGACCAAGTGGACACACTGGAGCTCTCCGGGGGTGCCCGGATTAATCGCATCTTCCACGAGCGATTTCCCTTCGAGCTGGTGAAGGTAGCGCTGCGCGGGCCGGGCCCTCTACCCAACCTTGACCCACCTGCTTAGTTGACCTTGAACCTGGCTTCCTCCCAGGCTGTGAGGTCTTGAGCTCCCACCTGCAAACCCCACGGGCCTCCTTCTCTGAGCTTAGTGATTTCCAGCAGAGTCATATGAAAAGCTCCATCATTTTCCTCTGAATACATGCTCTTTGCAAAATACATAGAACATACAGGTAAATTCACCTGGGAAAATGTCCCCATTGAAAGGGAAAAAGACTATGGAGCCAGCCTGGGCACCAGAACATAACAGTTGTTATAAATAATATCCTTCATATTCATCTCACGCCCAGTGAGATGGGTGTCTTTGCGGAGGATCTGCAAGGATGTTGACGAAATGTCAGCTCTGGGTGCTGGAATTAAGAGGTTTTTCTTTTTGTTTTAATTGCTGGAAGTTGTACAGGTTTTACAGTGAGCACATAACATCTTTGTAAAAACCAGTCATGTTATTTTCAGAAGAAGAGCAAAAGCTGAAAGGAGAAAAGAACAAATTATGCTTCTTTATATGCTTTTTTCACATAATTGCCATCATTCCAAATTAGTATATACATTTCATGCACCGTCAATGGCAAAACACTATCTTCTTTTTTAACTAGTCTCCCATTTGGGGGCATTTAAGTGCATTGCACATTTTTTTAGCACTTACAGATTGTTTTGGGAATTTAGCTAATTCTTAATTCATTGCTCAAGATAAATTCCCAGAGCACTTAAAACTACTTGGTGGTAGTAGAAGTATGTTTTTAGAGGTTTTTAATTTGTCCTGCCATATAGCCCAGAAGAGTGTGTGTATAAGTCGATTTTTCTTCCAACAGAGCAAGAGTGTTAGTTTCAGAGCATCCTTGCTGAAACTGAGTTTTAACATTTTTAAACATTTTTGACCAATCAAATATCCTACCATGTGACTACAAATGGTACACAGGAGGTAACAGTCCCCAGATACAGACCTGAGTTGGGGGGTCCCCCGGGTCTCTCCTTGCATGTGTTTGGTTTGTCTTTTCTCAGATGGAGTTCGACGAGAAAGACTTAAGACGGGAGATCAGCTATGCCATTAAAAATATCCACGGAGTCAGGCAAGTTCCACGGGGAGAGGCACCATGTTCCCTCCATCTCCATGGTGTCACCCTAGAGCCAGTCAGTCCCCCTGAACCTCTGGGTACCCCAAATGTGAGGACTGAAGGCGGGGTGCGGGGGGGTTGCAGTAGCTGTAAGTCTTTCCCTCTGGGTCTCCAAGGGTACTCGAGGTGGATGTGCTTAGTTCTGTTTATCTATTGAAGGCCCCGGGGCTGTCCACTGCCCAGTGTTCAGCATTGGTTCAAGGGCCCAGTGACCAGCCAAGGCAGAAACCTCACTGCACATTTGCTCTGGGGGGGTGGGGGGGGGGAGTCAGAGCTGCAGCACTGGGTCATAGGAACCCAGCATTTATTTGTCCCTGTCACGGGGGCCCTGTGAACCTCCTGGGTCCCCACTGTTTTGCAACAAAAATCGCGGCTCCCTTGCTCCAGTCTTGCATGGCCGTGGGGTCCTCAGATCGCCCTGGGTGGGGGGTTCTGGGGAGCGGACACAGGCCTCCACCCCCCTGACCTGCCGTGACCTGGGCTGTCCCGGGAACCCGGCCCTTGCCTGTGAGATGCTGACCGTGCTGTGTTTCTCTCCGACTTATCTCCCCTGCCCCCGGGTTCGGATGCTTTCAGGACCGGGCTCTTCACCCCGGACTTGGCATTCGAGGCCATTGTGAAAAAGCAGGTCGTCAAGCTGAAAGAGCCCTGTCTGAAATGTGTCGACCTGGTTATCCAGGAGCTAATCAATACAGTTAGGCAGTGTACCAGTAAGGTATTGGACCGTTGGCAGGGTGACTCCTGGCCTTGTGGAAACGGGGCTATGGGTGCTTGGTATCAGGCTCCCAGTGCTGCTCAGCCTTTGCCCCACTGGTCTCCCCCACCCCCCACCCCCTTACCAGATTGCCTCGGTTTCCAAGAATGTGACCTCTTCCCAGAGGCTGGGGCGGGAGTGTTTCGGCCTGGGTGCAGCCCGGGGGGGCCAGGCCTCCAGTCTCCACAGACTGGTGGGCAGGGCTCCCTGGGACCCTGATACCAAGCTTAGCATGTGTCTGATGGGGGTTCCGTTGGGCTGTTGCTTTGCTGTCTTCTGGGGAGCAGAGAGGGACCTTGAGTCACCTGCTGGAGGCCAGGCTCCCTGAACCTCCCTGCCCCTCACTCCTTGACAAATGCCTGGTGGGTGCCCTCAGGCTTTCCCAGAGCCAGGCAAGAAAGGCCCGAACACCACCCATATAAGGAGCGCCCAGGCTTGGGCTTGGTCCCTGCTGGCTTCTGCCAGCTTCCCCACCCATCCCCAGGAGCGGGGCTGTTCCCCCAGGCCCCCAGTCCTCAGATCCCCTAGGTCACCTGCACTTGTGTGCCGGTGTGCACGGGCCACTGCCCCCACTCGAGCAGGACACATCGGCGCCGCCGCCAGCCTGGTTCCCTGGGCCGCACGCTTTGGCCAAACAGCTGAAGCGCTTCCTGGTGGGTGATTTGTGCTTGCACGTCCACCATGGCCGAGGAGCTCTGGGTCGGCCTTCCACGGCAGGAGTTTCTGCTTGATCCTTCTGTTCTCAGTCTGGAAAAGCCCACATTTGCTTCCTAAGCTTCTTCGATTGAAACAGGGAGGGGAAAGACACCCCAGTGGTTCAGAGATGTTTACACATACAAAAATTCAAGGCCTCTGCACCCTCTTAGTTGTTCGGATGTTGGCTCTGACCCGTAGCACTTTTATATAATCAAACCCTGCCCACCCTTCGGACCCAGGACGCCTCCTGATCCGAAGCAGCTTCCGGGGCAAATGCGGGCACAGGCTCCTCCGTGCATGTCACTAACCAGCTGACTCTTGTTTCTTCTCTCTCTGTCTCCCGTCCTGCGTGTGTGGCCTGCACTGCCCCCGGGTGTCTTTCTACCTCGTCCTGCCCTCCGCATGACCCAGGACGGGGCTCTTCACCCCCGACATGGCCTTTGAAGCCATTGTGAAAAAACAGATTGTAAAACTCAAAGAGCCGAGTTTGAAGTGTGTTGACCTCGTGGTCTCAGAACTGGCCACGGTCATTAAAAAGTGTGCCGAGAAGGTAACAGAAGGTTTCGTTTTTCTCACATACGCGTCTGTTCCCCATCTTCCCCTTCCCGTCGTTGAGCGTTCACCCACGCAGCTAGGTAACTGCCTTGGCAGGACCCCCCTTCCAAGGGCCAGCGGCCACTTGGCAACATCTTGGCTTTTCCTTGACTGACCCAGGGGGGCGGTCCAAGCACACGTGGGATCCACCTTTGCAGTTTGGGCCTCCCCTGCGGCTGGAAGGCCTTCGGTGTTTCCAGATGCGCTTACTCACCTGCAGCAGGGATCAGAGTCCAGGCTCAACACTGGACTGCTTTGAGAAAGGGGGTTTTCAAACCAACACTGAGGCAATAAAACACCTTGCCGGTGTACTGATCTGCATGTTCTTATATCACTGGCATTTAAGAAATTTTCAGAATTCCTTGGTGGTGCAGTGGTTAGGACTGTGATTCTGTTGCAGGGGACTCGTGTTTGATTCCTGATTGGGAAACTAAAATCCCACAAGCTATGTGGTGTGACCAAAAAAAAAAAAAGTTTTTCCCCTGACTCGTGGACTTTGCCCAAACTGTGAAAGGTGGGCTTCTGTGCATTGGTTTGGTTGCCATTGCACAGGCCAGGGCAATGGGGGTGTCGGAGGACTGGATCCCTAAGGCAAGGTGCTTGGGCATGGTGTTCTGCCAAGGGAGTGCCTCTGAGGTAGATGGCCCAGATGCTGCCCCTCACCCTGGTGACCAAGCGACTTTGATTACACTGTGTCCTCACTCTTACCCAGCACTTCGAGGCAGGTGGATGGCTGTCTCTTGCTTTCTCTGCCACTTGCCACCTCAGAATCGCATTCTCTGAAAAGCATCTCTGCTTGTGTGTGGGCATCCACTCGGGCTCGCTGGCCCACCGTCCCCCCACCGCCCCTTCTTGTCTCATAGCTGCAGCCGCTGTGAGATAGGAGCAGGGTGGGGTCTCGGTGGGTCCGCCCCATGTCAGCCCCCCAACCATGTTCTCCATTTGGCTCACATTGTGTGCCCCCCGCGAGGACCCCGCCAACGTCACCACTCTGCTTTCCCCCAGCTCAGCTCCTACCCCCGATTGCGAGAGGAAACAGAACGAATCGTCACCACTTATATCCGGGAACGGGAGGGGAGGACCAAGGACCAGGTACTGGCTCTTGTTTGATACATTTGTAATTTATGTGCAGCAGATCTTCGTGGTACAGTTACCTGAGTTTTGACAAATGCACACAGCAAGGTGGTCTGCCCGGTGACTCAGTGGTGAAGAACTCACCTGGCAATGCAGGAGACATGGGTTCGATCCCTGAGTTGGGAAGGTCCGCTGGAGAAGGAAATGGCAACCCACTGGAGTATTCTTGTCTGAGAAATCCCATGGGCAGAGGAGCCTGGCGGACTACAGTCCATGGGGTCACACAGAGTCAGACACAACTGATCGACTGAACAGCAACATACAGCAAGGTCACCCCCACTTCACTCCACACGCAGAATGGATCTGTCACCGCCCCCTGAGTTCCCATCATTGAGCCGCTTGGTCGGTCCCTCCCCAGCCCTCAGGCCCTGGTGACCACCAGGCTGCTGGTTGCCTTTTCCATGGCGTCATGTGAACAGGCTCCTGCTGTCGTAGCCTCTTGATTCTGTCTCCCCTCACTCGGCACCACGCTCTCGAGATTCATCCCTGATGTTTGTAGTGTTGCCAGAGTGTCTCCTTGGACAGCTAAGTGGTGTTTCATGGCAGGGGTGGACCACAGCCTGCTTGTCAGCAGTAACCCAGCGGAACACCTTTGGGTGTTTTATCTGTTTTCACATTGTCTTGAGAAGACCATGCAAGCACACCTGAAGGTAGAGAGTAGGACATCCCCACGCAACCACAGTCCCAGTCTCACCTGTCACCTGCTCGGCCCGGGGCTGCCAGTCTGCCTTCATGTGGCCCAGCATCTGATCTGGGTCATTTCCCCCACCCGCCACCTCTTCCCAGTCTGCTGTTATCTCTTTCTCTCTCTACTCTCTCTCTCTTTTTTTAGATTTGCCGCATTTTTAAAAATTGAAGTGTTGTTGATTTACAACATTGTGCCAATCTCTGCTGTAGAGCGGACTGACTCAATTATACATACATATACACCATTTGGCTCAGAGGGTTAAGAACCTGCCTGCAGCGCAGGAGACTTGGGGCCCATCCCCGGGTCGGGACGATCCCCTGAAGTAGGAAGTGGTGACCCAGTATTACTGTCTGGAGAATCCCATGGACACAGGAGCCTGGCAGGGGCTACAGTCCATGGGGTCACAGAGAGTCAGACACAACTGAGCGCCTAACACTTTTACTTTCCTGCATTCTTTTATGTATATGTGTTTATTCACACACACATATATATTCTTTTCCATGATGGTTTATCCCAGGAGTTTGGCAGCTGTTTGTTTATTCAAACTGGAACCGAAATAAACCCGCCTGTTGTATCTGGTTGTGGGAGCACCTTATTGAGAACAGTCCTTCTCCCCTTGACATTGGTGGAGGAGAGACTGGCTCATTTGTCCCCCAAATCTGCGTGCCTGGCCCGCGTTATCCCTGAGGGTTCAGAGGCACAGTGAAGTGATAGAAAGGGCTGGGATGTTTGAGAGCTGGTGCCTTGTCTGAGATGATGTCCCAGCTGGCTGGTGTGTGTCTGTGTGTTTCATGTTAATGTCCTTACCTGACCAAATTACCATTGCTGTTTGTTTTTAATTTTAAAGAAGTGGAGTTGATTTACAGTGTTGTGGTAATTTCTACCAAGCAGCAAAATGATTCAGTTATACATGTAGGTCGTTTTCCATATTCTTTCTCATGACAGTTTATCACAGGATTTTGACTGTAGTTCTCTCCTTTGCTGTTTTAATGAGGCACTTAAGCCAAAGAAGTGAAAGTGTTAGTTGCTCAGTCATGTCTGATCCTTTGTGACCCCATGGGCTGTAGCCCACCAGGCTCCTCTGTCCGTGGGATTCTCCAGGCAAGAATCCTGGAGTGGGTCGCCATTCCCTTCTTCGGGAGATCTTCCCAACCGGCGCTACTCTAAATGTGACGACATCGTTTGACTTGTTTAAGCCTTTGCCGTGGGGCCTTATTGCCTCGCTCCACGCCTTGGAGGCCGCCCTTATGACCACCACATTGCTCTGTTGGCCCAGTGTGAGGCCTTGGGGTCTGGAAGCATCCACGCCCCATTTTCCATCCCAGTAGTCCCCAGGCTACGGGAAGGGGTGGGTGCCCTGCCTGGAAATGGTGCAGTTCCAGCTCCCCCTGCTGGTGGGTGTGGGAATTGCTCTGACAGCAGCCCCTCTCTGGCTTGGCTCTGTACTCACAGCAACCCCCCACCACCTTTCCCCCCAGATTCTTCTTCTGATTGACATCGAGCAGTCCTACATCAACACCAACCACGAAGACTTCATTGGATTTGCCAAGTATGTATTTTTCAAGACAGCAGCTGGTGGGGCGGACCATTGTCCCCCGTCAGAGTCAGGCCCTGAGAGAGGCAGTTGAATGGGATTCCCCCAGTGGGCCAAGGCCCGAGGGTCTCTCTGTCAGGGGTCCCTGGGTGAAGCGAGGGGCCATTGGAGAACATCTGGACGCTTTCCTAGGCTAACAGCAACGTCCAGTCTTGTCCCCAGTGCACCTCTGGTGGAACACCCCCATGGTTAGTTTAAGGAGGAAAGGACAGCCCTATGACCAGACCGTTCAGAAAAGGGCAAGACTGACCAGTGTTCAATGCTTCCCTTGCTGCAGGACTTCTCAGAGCCTTTGATCAACTCGCACGCAGCTTTCCCAAACTCCCCCATGCTCGCTGGGTCCCTTTCCTTAGCATCTCAGGGGCTCAGGGCTCCAGAGGCTGCCCTTCAGGAAATGCTGCCAGGTTTGCATGGCTTCTGTCCACACGCTGTAGATTGAGAACCAGAACCTTCCAGGGCACCCAGACAAGGGCCCAGAGCAGGGAGCCCTGATTTCTGCAGAATGGAAGACTAAATGCTGGTGGCCTCTGGGCCCTTGCCTCAGCAAGCTGGAGTGTCACACAGGTCGTTCTGATGGCTCACAACGGTCTTCTTTCCAGAGCCTGGTAGAATAACAGGTGGCTGGTATCCAGCCTCCTTGTATTTGTTTAGCAAATACTGCTGGTGTACTTTCTCTATGCCAGGCCCTGTGCTACAGCAGGGAACAAGCACAGACCCAGGTCCCCACCCTCAAAGGAAGGTCCCGTGCCAGGGATAGACGTGCACCCAGGCAGTTAAGATATGGTGTGGTCAGGCCAGGGTGGTGGCTGGGCATGGCCTGTGGGAATCCAGAGGGTAGCCTTGTGGCCTGGCCTTAGAGATACAGGGAGGCTTCTTAGGGAGTCAGGCCCTGCAGAGCCCAGTCTTGGGCTAGCAGGCTGGGTCAGAGGGTCTTCCCGTCCAGGTGTCTGCTGGGTAGGCATTTATCAGTGCACTCAGCTGTTCTCTTGTGGGCACGTGGTCGGTGGTGGGATGAATGAATGAACGAGTGGATGAGTGAACTGGGGGCATTATCAGAAGGTGGTCCCCCAGCCCGGATGAGCTGAGGGTCCCCCGCTGCGCTGTCCCTGCTGGGGGAGAACTGGGGGCCCTGGCCGGGGGGCTGCCCCTCAGGTGGGGCTGAAAACGCCAGTCCCCCTCTTCGGGTTGCTGCTCTCACCTTGATGTCTCTGCTTCTCACACTTCATCTGCAGTTCCTTCTCACAATCTCTCGTGTTTTTCCTTTGACCACTTCACTCTTTCCTCTGGATTCCTGGGCCTTCCCACCTCCCCCAGCTGTTACTATACTGAGCAGCTGGTGACCGGGTGGGTATTGCCTGCTGTGTGCCTTTTCCCTGGTGTGTGAACGGGGGCCGACCTGGCTGGGGGTGGGGCCCGGGGTGCCAGGCTCCTCCCGGCCCAGGCCCCAGCCCTGGGTGGGATGTCTCAGGGGCTCCGGGAATAGCCATGGAGCGCTGTGCGGACCTTTGGACTCGGACAGCGAACAAGCCGGACTTGGGCCTTGCCCTTTCAGAGTCCACACTGTTGAGCCAGTTATCATAGGAGGATGAGATGTGGAAAGGAGGGCAAGTGGAGGGGCTGTGGGAGAGGAGACCATCCCAAAGAAATCATGACAGCCAGGTGATGGGGATGGAGGGGGCCAGAGAGCAGTAAAGATGGGGAAGGATGACTGAGAAGTGTAAGAACGGGGAGCCCAAGGCCTCATTGCCAGGAGGGCCTGCAGGCCAAGGGGAAGACTTTGGACTTGCCCCATGACACTCCTGTGCACACATGTGCGCATGCACACACACTGAGGCAGTGGCAAATCTCTGACTGGGTGAAGGCAATTGAGAAAGGCAGCCAAGGGGCCTGCCAAGCATGGGTGAGACCCAGGAATCCCTCAGGAAGTAGCATATCTGGGACCTCAGCAGCACGCAGACCCTGAATGGCTTAGCTTTGTGTCTTCCGACACCATGATCAACCTTCCTGTGCTTAGAAGTTCTGGGGTGCTTTCTCAATGCCCTCTAAACACTTAAAATAGGGCCCAGAGAGAAAGTCATTGTATCAGTAGTAAATGTATTGCATCATAGTCTGATCTCCTAGGCTGGGTGGCCCTGGGCTAGAGCTTTTCATGACCTGGTGCTGGGTCAGAAATAGGAGGAGAAAGCAGGAAGAAGCCTCAAGTTTGACCCCAAACATTGAAAGTATTCTGAAGCCAGCATGGCTACCTCCCAGCCACCCGGGAATCCAGCCTCCCATAGCCCCTCTTGGAAGCTCCAGGACCCAGTGACTTTTAGAAATAGCTGGCACTCTCAAGAGTGGCCAAGGTCGGGCTGAGAAGTCATGGTTTAACTGGCTGCATGTTCTTGTTCATTCCACAAGCCTGCACTCTCCTCGGGCAGCCCTTTGTATGCAGGGGGTTTCTTTCTGCCTCTGTCTAGAGCTTGTCCCTTGGCCTCCTTTAGGGAGAGAACCCTACCGGGGCCACAGGGGCCTTTTGCCTCTTGTCCCTCTTGCTCCTCATCCCTCTGGGCGTCCTGCCGCGTAAACCCTCTCTGTTTTTTTTATTTCAGCGCCCAGCAGAGGAGCACACAGCTGAATAAGAAGAGAGCCGTCCCCAATCAGGTAGCCTACCCCACTGTGGCCTGCAGCTCCTCCCTTGAGGGCGGGAGGGCACTAAACGACAACCAAGCCCAGCGATGGCGCCTGGCTCAGAGCCTGTCCCGCCAGAACCCCCCACCCCCCCCCCACCCCACTCCCAGCCTCTCAAGTCCACTTAGGTTTTGATAATTTGGGAAATGGATCTTTGAGTGCAGCTCTGGCAGGGTCTGGGGGCAAACTGCTCACATGCATAAGGCCCTATCTGCCATCCAAGGCCATGGCTAGAACTTGACACTAAGGAGAGAGGCCACCCAGTCCCCCTGGTGTCTGCAGGAAAATTGGGTTCCTGCCCCAGCCCCAGAGACTTGGAGGTCATGGGAGAGGGCCAGGAGTGGGCAGGGAAGCTGGCTGTGATCAGCAGTTCTGGAGCACCTGGAGGTGCTTTCAGCCTCATATCTGGGGGAACCCAGAACTGTTTAAGAGATTCTCTACCTTGATGTCATACTCTAACCAGAGGCCTTGTGAAATAAGGACAGCTTTATATATGCCAGTATTAGATGCCTTCCCCCCCTTTTTTCCCTCTGCTTAAGAAAACACATCATCTTTGCAAAAATTTCTGCCAGTGTCCCCTGCCTTCTCCACATCGGGTGGGGGTGGGAGTGTGGGTGCTGCTGTTCATCGCACAAGATGACGGAGCCCCCTGGAAAGAAAGAAGGGATGTAACCACTGCATGATTTTTTTTGCGCTTGCTGTAGGTAATTCATATGTTGTTGCTTTTTCGTTTCGGGAGATGATAATGAATTAAATATTAACACCATGAATATAATTAATAGCATGTAATTTTTTTTTCTTTTGCTGTTTCTCTCCCTTGCTCTTCTCTCTCCTCATTTTTGTGCTTTTCCTGCTTTTTCTCCATCCCCTCACGTCCCTTATGTCTCTTTTCTTCCACCTGCTCTTCTTTGATTTACCCACAACCCTAACTTTGCATTTTCAAAGGGGGAGATCTTGGTAAGTACTCACTTAGTGTGGTAGCAAATGTTAGAGAACCTGGTAGTGGTGGAGATGCTGCCACCCCATAATATTCCGCGCCCCCCCCCCCGCACCCCGCCCAAATAACAGAACCACTAAAAATCCAGCTAACCTAAAAAAAAAAAAAATCCCCTGCCATGGCCACTGCATGCCAGACTTTGTGTTGCCCTGGGCGTGAGCTGACTCACACAGACACTAACCTGCCCACTGCCTGCCTCCAGCACCCACCCCTCCAGCCCATTCTGGACACATTTTCCTCATTTCCTGTAGGTCAGGGATGGCAGATACTCAGCTAACACCCCAGGCCTTCCTCCCATCACACCTCTGGCCAGGGAAGATTTTGTTCAAGCCCTGCTAGAGAGCCTGTTCTTGCCACTGCCACTGCTCTGTTTCCAGACAATACCCTGCGGAAATGTCCCCCTCCTGCACTCAGGGCAGACATTACTAATCGGTCCGGCACTCTTTCCCTCCTGCCTCTCCCCTCTAATGTGCCCCTGGCAGACATCACTAATCAATCCTGGCCTTTTTTTTTTTTTTTTTTGCAAAGCATGTGACAGATGTGTCGAACTAGTTAAGGAATTTTTTTCTTTCTCCATGTGATTGCTTTGCACATGACACCCCTCCCGTCCCCATGACAGACATGGCTAATCGGTTAGGGGACTCTCTCTTGGATGCTGCCAATCTCCTCCCACCTCCACAGCAGATATGATAACTGATTAGGCTGTTCCTCTTGCCCCCGTCTCTTTGCTGATAGTAGACATCACTAATTGATCCTAGTATCCTTTCCCCCTGTGCCCAAAGTGCCACCCATGGATTGGTGAGTGGCGTTTGCCATCCCTGTTTTAGGTATCACCTCCTGTCTGTGTGTGGCCCAGCCCTGACCAGCAGTGAGCAGGCACTGCTCACATCTGAGAGCTGAGCTCTTTTCAAGGTGCCTGCCCTTTAGGCAGCTCTCCACCCTGGAGATCATGGCTTGGGCCAACAGCCCCCACTGATCCTTCCTTTTCCTGGCTACTCTCCCACCACACTGAGCAGGCCCTACGGCTGCCCCGCTGGTGATCCCAGGGTCTTTCAAGTAGCTGAGCTAACCCTGTACCAGGGTCTGGAAGATCCAGAAAGACCCCAAAGCTTGGCATGGCTGGTGCGGCCACAGGAGGAATGGATCGTCCTTGGACCCTTGGTTCCTGCCTTTCCCATGTGTCACAGCCCCCCCATCCCAGTCCCCCTTGAACTTGAATGATTTCCTCCCTCCAGACAGACCAGGGCCATGTTTCTCCCCACACTCACACCCTAAGAGGTTTAGTCATTCTTTTCCCACTGGATCCCACACCCCCGGCCATGAAGCCCAGCTCTGCCCTGTGCCTGGCTGTGGCACCTGGATCTCCCAGCCACAATTCTCATCCCCGCCCAGACCTCTAACCTGGGAGGAGGTGGGCTCCGCTGCCCTGCTTGCCTGCTGCCCATGCCCCCCCCCAGCAACCTTTCCTCCTGCCCCTAGCATGCCTGTGTCCTAGAGCATGGGAAGCCCACCTGCCTCTCTGTCTCCCCAGCTGACCCTAGTCCTGCCCCCCTCCTTTTTCTGAGCCCAGTCCCTTCAGCACACATCACTTGGATGAGAAGGCCCGATCGCCCCTTCTTGCTCTAGACTCAGCGCTTATGTTTGCCACCAGCAGCAGCTTGCTCCTCCCCATGGGGTAGAGTTTTTGTCTCTGAGTCCTCTTGGGCTCCTGCATGAGCAGCTCTCAGGGTGACTTGAGGGCAGAGGGACTTGGGGGTGCAGTGCCTCTCCAGACCCCGAGGCTCTCGATATGCCATTCCCAACATGGCCACACCCCTTGCCACGTGCCCCGGAGCTGGTCAAGGGCCCCATCTGCCGACTGTGACCTCAGCTGACCAAGGGTGGAGGCAGGCAAGCCAGACCACAGAGGGAGAGGGGCCCATCTGCCCCCTTGGGGACAAGGCTGGGCCTGGGAGTACAGGGGTCTTGCCATGTGAGGGTGTCTCCTCTGGGGAGCACCCAGCAAGCACGGCCTCTGCCCTCGTCTCCCCCCCACCTATCAGTCAGTGGGTGAAGTTTAGAAGCACCCACTCTGGGCCTGGGCTAAGACAAGACAGGCCTTATACTCCCCCTGGGGAGAGAGGATTGTCGTGGACAGACCCCCTCGTAACTCTGGAGCTGGATGTGTTTGCCAGATGCAGGGGTTCCTTCCTGGGTCCTGTGTGGGATGGCCTTGTCTGGAGGCCTGAGTCTGGAGAACTGCGGTCCCACCTTGCCTGGGACTGAGGGCGTCCCTGGGAGTGTTAGTGCTCAGCCTAGGGGCCTCCTGGGCAAACCAGGCTGAGTCTGTCAGCTTGTTGCCAGGAAGGAACCTGTGACCTTGTTGGGGCTGACAGTCTCTGCCTGCTCCCTGGCGGCCACAAGCCTCGCAGGTGCTGTCTCGTTATCCTAGGGAGAGAATAGTCTAAATCCTGGGCCTTAGCAAGGGCTTCCAGGTGGCATCTCATGGGTCACAGCCTAGGCAGGGATATCTCTGCGGCCGCCTCTGCCTTCATGGCCCCTGAGGCTCAGAGCTCACTTCCAGGTGGCCCTGTGACAATGTGGTGGGCCTGGGGACAGGGCAGAGTAGACAGGATGAAGGCCCTCTTGAGATCCATCCACTGGGGAGGCATGGGAGCCCCAGAGACAGCCTCACCCCACCCTGGGGGGCCCAGTGCTCACTCATCCCAGCCAGCCCCAGCCACTTGCAGCGCACCTCCTGCAGCTTAGCCGTTTGTCGCTGCCTTGGCCTCAGGCCTCCCCTCCCACCCCTGCTCATGCTTCCCACTGCCACAGGGTCCCCAGTCCAGAGTGGTGGGGGGCTTCAGCCCACAAGTGCCTCCATGGTCCAGAGAACATGAGAGTGTGCCCCCCCACACACCCCAGGCTAGCCGCCTGCCTTTAGCTGTCAGGTGAGTCCCTCACACAGGCCTGGGTTCTGCCCCCTGCTCAGGTGACAGCTGCAGCTGGAGGGGAGCCCCACAGGGGGTTCTTCCAGCCCAGGACCTGAATGTCCCGGTCAGAGAAAAGTGGGACCACATGGCTTGAAGCAGAGCGTAGGGCATGGTCCCCGGCAGGTCCCCTGGGCTCACGCCCTCTGGGTGGAGGCATTCCTTCATCGTGGTGTTCTGGAAAGAGCCTGTGGGGAGGAGAGCCCTGGGGCAGGAGCTGGCCTGACCTCCTGGTCAGAGCAGGACCCTGTGCCCGCTGAGTGCCTGGGTGAGCTGGGCAGCGGCATCCAGCCTCTGCCAGTTGGCCCCTAAAAGGAGAGAAAGAACCGTTCCATTGCCCAGCAGTCCCTACAGCTCTCCATCAATGGCTGCCTTCCAGGGGATGCGAGGGGCAGGGCCCAAGGGTGTCCCTAGTACCCATGTCTCACCAAGGCAAGTCTGATTCCTTCAGTGTCACATCTCATCCTACACATGACACAGCCCACCCGTAAGCCTGGGGTCCCCCTCCCCTAGGCTCCTTCTAGCTGAGCGTACCTCTTGCCACCTGTGCTAATTTAATCTAACCGCAAGGGCAGAGGGGTTCCCCAGGGACCCAGCTCCCCAGGGCCTGTGAGTCAGTCCACGTCTGTCCATCGAGGGCCCCACCTTGGTTTCCAGTGGGTAGCACTTGGGGCAAGGCGGAGTGGAGTTGGGTTGCCTGGCTCTGGGCTGGAGGTTTCTCTGCCGTGGCGGCCTGGTTTTTCTGCCTTGCTGGGGGCAGGGGGCAGGCTGGGCTGGGTGGTGGCTGTGGTCTGCTGCTGAGCCTGGCTGGCCCTCCATCCTCCCCAGGTGATCCGCAGGGGCTGGCTAACCATCAACAACATCAGCCTGATGAAGGGCGGCTCCAAAGAGTACTGGTTCGTGCTGACGGCTGAGTCACTGTCCTGGTACAAGGACGAGGAGGTGAGTGGCTGGCTGGGTGGGGCGGTCAATGGGTGCTGTCCACACCTCCTGCCTCTGGGTGGCGCTCTCTCAACTTACTGTGGATTCGGAAAAGGCGACTTGAGTGCGCCTGTGATTAGGATGGTATCGGCCAGGTCTGGAGGGTGTGCAAAAGGCTCTGTGCCTCCTATCCCAGCCCCTCACAACCCACTGTGGGGTCAGGCCTGAGAGGGGCTGTGCTCCCTGAGGGAAAAAGGGACGTGGGGGAGGGGGAGCTACCCACAGGCTCCAAACTGATCCCACCCTCCAGCAGCACGGCAAGGGGGGCTCTCAGATGGGGCACAGACTGGGGCAGGGGCTCAGATCCACGACCAGGCCCTTAGCTTCTCTGGGCCTCGGTTTTCCCATCTGTGAAGTGGGGCAGGATGGTCCTTGCATCTGTGAGGTGCTCGGTTCCATGTCTGCCTTGAGATTATTCCGCATGGGCTCATCCTTCTCAGAAGGATGAGGGAGGCCCCTGGGAACAGGACTAATAGCACCAGGAGCGGGTCGCACACTGCCTGTGGGCCTGTGGACGGGGCTGTGAGTGAGTGCAGCCCCTGCTGACACAGGCTCCGTGGCCTGGGCCACCGTGTTTTTCTCCTGTCCCTGGAGAGGTGCAGAGGCGCTCCTTGTTATCAAGGTGATGTTAGGTGGCTATCGTTTGGGGTCTGTGACAGAGGCCCCAGCTGGAGGCACTTACAGAGATGGTGTGTTTCTTTTCCACATCCCTGTGAGCCGTGCACCTCTGTGCTGTGAGGCTGCCCGGGGCCCAGGCTCCACCTCACCCGTTGCCACCGTAATACACAGCTCCTCCCTGTGGTCCAAGACGGCTTCCTCATGCCCATCACCATACAGCCCTGATATCACTCTGCTCACATGCCCGTGAATCTTGTCATACAATTGCTGTTTGTTTAGCTCACGTTGGATGGCACAGCCTCCAAGGTGCCCTTGGAGGAGAGGCCGGGCATCTCTGATGAGCCCTGGAGATGCCCCACCTGGCTCTCCCCTCTTGGGGGTTTTGGGAAGACCCGCCCCCCCAGGCCTGGACCTCACTGGCAGCCGGTTGACCCCACCCCAACTGGGTGTATTTCCACCCAGGCTCAGAGAGAAGGCAGGTAGAACTTGAGCTCTCCCGGGGCCCATGGGGGAGCCCTCTCTTGTTCATGAAGCCCTTGCCCCATGCCAGGTTCACTGGCTAGGGGAGCCCACCATGGTCACCCGGGGAAGGCATTCTCTTCCTCCCCTTCCTCCTCAGTCAATACTCACACTCCTTTTGTCAGGTAAGGAAACTGCAGCTCTGAGCAGTGACCGGCCCCGTGTCACAGTGTGGGGAAGGGTCCCTGACCCTCAGCCCCTCAGCCCCACACCTGGACGGTTCCCCACCGCCCAGACCGGAAGCAGATTGGACAAGAGGCGGGTGTTTGAGGGAGAACATCATCACCCCACTCCCCTTGAGGCCTGAGACTCCTGGAATGTTGCGGATCCTTGGGAGGCCTGAGTCCCTGAGGGGACCCTGTCTGGGTGGCTGTTTCTACACCCCTGGGGTGGGGGAGATACGATGTCCGGGGAGCCTTCCAGGGTTGCGTTGTGGAGGGAGGGTGGGACCGGGCAGTCCTCAAGGAACCTGCGCGGCCACATCTGCTCCTCAAGATGGCCGGGGTGAAGTGGGGGGGCGGGCGGCGCGTACACATTCCTTCCCTCTCTTTCCACCCCCGGAGTCTGAAACCCTGTCATCAGCTGTCAGCTGGCTTGCGCCTTTGGGCTTCGGGGGGTCCCCAGGGCAGGAGTGACAGACCTCAGGCAGTTGGAGAGGGGCGTCTGGGCTGAGACCCCAGCCTGGCAGTTTGCCTCAGGGCACCATCACGAGCCTGGTTTTTAACTTCAGGAGGGGCCCTTCATTCCTCCTTCATCTCGGGGTTGAAAGTGGGAGCCCCAGACCCTCCCACGGGGGCCCCAGAGCAGAGGCTAGGGCTGTGTTGGGAGGAGGGTCGTGCGCCCGCCGGCAGTAATGAGAACCAGCAGTCCTGTGAATGAGGCCTGTGTGCGCCCCAGACACAAAGCGGGCTGAGACGGGGCGGGGCGGGCGCGAAGTCCCTTCCGTCTGTCCGTCCCCTGCCCTCTCCCCCTCCCCGCAGTTAGGATCCCCAGCAAGGACCCTGAGAATCCCACCCCACCGGAGTGGCCACTCCCGGGGTCAGGCCACGTTCGTAGAGAAGCCTCAGAGAGAGGCAAGACACCAGGATTACTTTATTTAAAGAATAAACAAGAGATGGTGGTTACAGGAGGGTAGGCACAGGGGACCGATTCCGCCAGAGCCCCTAGCCCCCCAGCCAGTGTTGGGGTGCCCTTGGCCTTTTCCTGGCACCTCTCCCCCCACCCCCGCCCAAGCCCTTCTTCTTTATTCCAGAATCTTCTGTCCAGATCCCCGCCCCTGTGGGGAACAGGGCAGTGGGCGATGACACTCACCTCTGGTGTGCCTCACTGTGGGGGTGGCAGCGAGTTTGGAGGGGGCCCATCCCGACGCGCCGCTCGCCCGAGCCCAGCCTAACCAATGTGCAGACTACTGTACACATTCAGAGCCCCCTGAACAGGTAGTCTGAACACTGGGTTGGCGGGGCCGGCTGTCCATCCATCCCGCGGGCCCCCTGGGCAGCGGCAGGGCCACCGCGCCTCTGGCACCTCCGAGGAAGCCACCCCTCTACCCGCCCGCGACCGTCTGCTCGTCTCTTCTGACGTGGCACGGCTGGGGCCAGCGCGCATCTGGAGAAAGTTGTGGGTTTTCAGGAAATCCTAGGGAGGCGGTGGGGGAGGCGGGGGTGGGGGTGGGGGCCGGGAGGGAGGGTCTGGGACCAGGGCCTCTGCCAGCAGGAGAAGGTCTCTGCGGGTGGGGGCGGGGTGCACACACGCCTCCGTGTCTGTGTGATGTGTGTGTGTGTCGTGTGTGAGTGTGTGTGTGTGCGTGCCCGCAGCATCAGGAAGGCGGCCGCCCTGCTCTGGGCGGAATCACACTATAAACAATTCCAGATGTGGCGTCTTGCTCAGGGCCCAAAAGGACTGTGACTCAGTGACTTGGCCTGGCCGGCCGACTGAAAGCTTCCTGCCTCGTGATGACACGATAGGGTGGGGGCAAGCAGAGGCTCTTCCACAAATATCTGGGCCAGGAACTTGGACCCCACCCATTTGTGAAGCCCCCAGAGCTCTTCCCCGAGAGGTCAGAGGGCCTGCCCACACCCCTTGCAGCATGGATGGGGGGCGCTCACATCTTTGGCGGCCGGGCTCCTCTTCCTGCCTCTCACTGTGGCTCAGCCTGGAGGAGCACTGCCCTGCTTCCTCCTTGATGGAGCCCCGTGGCCTGACTGACCCTGGAGCATAGAGGGACAGACAGACAGGCAGACAGACGAAAACCCCTGGTGCCTTGTAAGCGCTGACTCCAAGGTGGGCATGTGCTCAGTTTTCAGTGTCCTCCCTCACCCTGGACCAGGAGGCCAAGGCTCCTATCCACCTTTTTAATTTTAGTTATTTGTTAATAATTTTTTTTACCGTGCCATAGGGCATGTGGGATCTTAGTTACCTGACTAGGGATTGAAGCCATGCTCCCTGTATTGGAAGCATGGAGTCTTAACCCCTGGACTGCCAGGGAAGCCCTTCCGACCCACCTTGGACAGCTGAAGAAACTGAGGCAGAGGAGGGACAGTGAATGGGGCGGGGCCCGGCCCATCTGGTCTCCTAACACCCCAGTCAGGACTGAGCCCCCGCACCAAGCCTGCCCCTTCAGTAGTCCTGAAACTCCAGGCGGCCCTCCACCCACCGGGGAGCCCCCAGCTCCCTTTCCCACCACCACTGTGGCCGCTTGAGTTCGGAAGCAGCCATCATTGTGGGGCTTTGTTCTGATAACCTTCTGGAGTTCAGGGGTAGGACGGCTGTGGTGTGAGGGAGCTGGTCTCTATTCTCCAAAGATGTCCAAGAGGTCAAAGGCCAGGAGGGCAGTGAGGAGAACCTGGTTTCTGAAGTCCCATGTGGCCCACTCCACTGCTGTGTGCCCTTGGGCAACCAGCAGCCCTCTCTGATCATGCTGCTTACCAGGCAGGGGCATGTGAGAGGGTTCCATGAGCTGTTGGACACAGCATGTCTCCTCAGCCTTTGAGAGCTGCTGTGAGTTGGGAGTAGGGGGAGAGCTGGGGGGACCCCGACACTGTGCTTTGGTTTTCTGATGTAGAAAACCCAGTTAATATGCTGCCACCTCCACCCCCGAACGAAGACTAATAATGATGCATTTACAGGGGAAAATAGTAGGTACCTAGCTGACATCCCTGGGGTTCCAGAGTGTGACTCCCAACCCTGAGACTCACCAGGCCCAGAACTTTGGCCAGGAGACACGCCCTTTCTGAGCTCTTTGCTCGGTAGCTGGCAGGACCGCCGTGCCTGGCAGTCAGTGGGCACTTTCTGAACAAGGCCAGCCAGGCTTTGGAACTCAGGCCTCAGCTCTAGGGGGCCTCCCTTTCCAGCTCTGCCCAACCCCTGCCCCCACTGCCTGCCCTTCTGTGCCTCAGTCTGTCTCTCTTGAAAATGGGGTCATAGTGGTAACTCACTTGCAGGCTTGTTGTGAAACTGTAGGCGAGTTAACAGTTCCATTCACTTAGTGGTTGGGATCCGGGGAGAGTCAGAGCTGGCCGGTTTTCAGCATCCCCTGTGTGTCAGCAGTGAACTAGACAGGAGTCCCCACCCTTGAGGATTCAGCGGTCCCAGTGACCTAGGTCGATAAGCAAGATATGTGGTGTGCTGTGTTTTGTGAGGAGAAGCACCAGGGCGAAAATTAGAGGGAGAGTTTGGGGTGGGGTTGGAGCAGGCCTTGCCCTCTGCACAAAGGTGTCAAGGAGGGAACCATGCAGACATTGAGGGTGCAGGGCAGCATCCCACGTGCAAAGGCCCTGGGGTAGGAGCCCACTTAAGATGTTCAGCGAGAGTCAGAGGCCAGCGTGGCTGGGTCGGGTGAGCGAGGGGGAGATGGGGCAGGTAAGTTCATCTGGGGAGAGCGAGCCACGTGAGAGGCGTTGGATGTTGGCCGTGGTCCTTTTGGTAGAATCTAGCCAAGGCCGACCCCTCCCCTCCCTCCCTCAGGAGAAAGAGAAGAAGTACATGCTGCCTCTGGACAACCTCAAAATCCGTGACGTGGAGAAGGGCTTCATGTCCAACAAGCACGTCTTCGCCATCTTCAACACAGAGCAGAGGTGAGCCCGCCCGGAACCCAGGTCCCGGGTAGACCTGTGGCCCCCATTCGGCCCTTCTGCAGCATCCGCAGAGCGCTTGCTGTGAACAGCCCCTACCTGGGGTCTCAACGGTCCAGAAAGGGAGTCAGTCAAGAAACAAAAACGTGCTTCTGTGGGGCGGTCAGGGAAGGCCCTTCTGGGGAGAGGTGAGAATGAAGTGAGCAGGGCCATGCGGGTTCTAAGCAGACAAGGGATTGGACCTGGGGCTGGTACTCACGGGCGCCCCCTAGTGGTCATGAGGGGAACAGGCTGAGGCGGCGAGGGTGAGGGTGGGAGACCAGGGAGGAGACACCGGCAGTGGCCCCGGCGGGCAGTGGTGGGGCTGGACCCGAGTGGGGCTGAGGACATAGAGGAGGAAGGGATGGCTTCCAACAGAGGGACCAAATTCCTAGTGCCTGTGGGTGTGAGAACAAGAAGGCATTGCCCAGGGATGGAGCTGCCGTTGGCTGACATGGGGTAGGCAGAGGCAGAAAAGACTTGGGGCCAGTCAGAGGCTGGGTTTGGGCGATGCTGAGGAAGGGGGGCCCGTGAGACACCACGTGGAGTGTGAGGGAGGCAGCTGGGAAGGTACAAGAGACGTGTTCAGGACTGCACTCTGGGCAGGAATATGAACTGGGGACTCACTGCTTTGTGGTGGTGTTTCAGGTCTAGAGGGGGCAAGATCCCTGGGCCAGTGTAACAGAGAAGAGAACAGCCCAGGAGACTCAGTAAACCCATCCCCAGAGATGCTGATGGGTGACTTTAGCAAAAGCCAAGGCACTTCTAGTCAGCTCGGGAGAAGACCCAGTTGGCAGGGGGTCTGAGAGCAGGAGGAACAGCTGAGCGTGGACCCAGGAGGGCCCCTGCTCAAATTCACACCATCACGCAGGGACCCCCTCAAGCCAGGGGTCAGCTAGAGGCTGGTTGTTCTTCATGACTGGCCAGCAGGCACTGGCTTGCTCTCTGCTGGCCCCTGGACCACCTTCCCCACTGCCCATTCACACCCACTAGTTCCACCTGAGCTACCTGGCTTGTGCAAGAACAGCTCGTCCTGCTCCTTTCTGGGCTGGCCGAAAGCTCTGAGATCTCTTTGACCATCAGCTGCCTCCAAAGTCTTTTGTAGCCCTTTTAGGCACATTCCTCCCACTCCCCACCTCCCATGCCTAAGAAGCCCTAGAGTATGTGGGAGAAACTGGGCTCTGCAGTAGGACAGGCCTGCTGGGAAGTCGTTCCTGGCTGCAAGATGCCAGGCGTCCAACACACTTCCCTGGTCCTGTGATCTTCCATGCAGTAGGGTGAAGACATTGCATAATATTGAGGGGTGAGTTCAAGAAACAAAGAACAATAATAGCAGAAACAAGATAGAAGTCTGGTGTTTTCTTTAATATAAATCAAATTCAGACTTTACCATCAAGGGCAGGTTGGACAAGCCCACAGGCATCCAGACCCAAGCCCTCCTTCTTATTTCTCAGCTTTCCTCCTCTTTGTCCAAGATGGCTGCCTAATCTCCAGCCATCATGATGATGTTCCAGGCAGCAGGAAGGAGGAGGAGGAGCAACAAAGAAATGCCCTGGAAATCTCAGGGCAGCCACTCACTGACTGCCGGTTGGCCTAAGGACTGTCGTGAGGCCATGTGTGCCTAATCTCCAACCCAAACCTCACTGGAAGACTTTGGGACAGCTTGGCCATCTCAGCCACACCTGCCGTGTGGGACAGGGTGACATGCATGTAGCATGGATCCTGGCCCCTATATAGAGAGAACACTGTCCTTAAATGCTGGTTAGTGCCCGTCTGTTTTTCCTTATCTCCCAGCCTTGTGGCTCTGCACCTTCTGCTCATAGACCCACATGTGCCCAGCAATTCACAAGCCTTCACTGGGAGTCTTGGTCCTGTCCTTGGCCAGCTCTACCTCCCTTCTAAGAATCTGGGCACGTGCTAGACCTTCTGTGTCCAATGCAGTAGCCACTGCGTTTAAATATAAATCAATGGAAAAAAAATCTTAAGATCACTTTCTTGTTCACCCTGGCCCCATTTCTTGTGCTCAGAAAGAAACTACCTGTAATTCATGGCTACTGTGTCAGGCAGCACAGGCAGAAAACGTTTCCACTATCACAGAACTTTCTTTTGGACAATGCTTTAGTCTTTCTACCAGGGCTTCCCTGGTGGCTCAGAAGGTAAAGAATCCACCTGCAGTGCAGGAGACCCAGGTTCAATCGCTGTGTTGGGAAGATCCCCTGGAGAAGAGAATGGCAACCCACTTCAGTATTTTTTGCCCAGAGAATTCCATGGACACGACTGAGTGACAGACACTGAGTCACCTCTCTAGAAACACTTTGTTGGGAGCTCCGCAACTGGCAGAGTGTTATGGGTCACTACCCACTTCTAGTCACTGCCCCCCAGGAGAGCATACAGGAGGGGAGTAGCTGAGCTCACAAACAGAGCACCATGGATGCCGCTAGATGCAGGCTCTTACGGAGCACACACCCTACTCTCGTCACGGTTTTGGGTGTCACAGGCATAAACTCATGAAGCCTCCATCAGGCCAATACGGTGTAGAGGCCGCTGCCATCCTGGGGCCTCTGGTGAGCGCCTGGGTCAGGGGTGAATCCCCGTCAGTCAGACCAACCCCAGAGCCTGCACGCCAGCTCCTTGTACCCGCTGGGCTCCGGGCAGGGTTAACCACGGACCTTTCCCTCCCTCCCTCACCCTGCAGGAATGTCTACAAGGACCTGCGGCAGATCGAGCTGGCCTGTGACTCCCAGGAGGACGTGGACAGCTGGAAGGCCTCATTCCTTCGAGCTGGGGTCTACCCAGAGAAGGACCAGGTGAGACCACCCTGAGCTGACCCCTCCCTCCCGAGAGAAGAAGGGGAGCCAGCATCTCACAGGCTGGGTCGTTTCAGGCTGTTTGCCAGAACTCTCTAAAGGCATGTGGCCCATACCCCCTCACTCAAATAAATAAATTTTTATTTATTTATTTGGCTGTGCCGAGTCTTAGTTGCAGCACATGGAATCTAGTTCCCTGACCAGGGAGTGAATCTGAACCCCCTGTATTAGGAGCATAGAATCTTAGCCCCTGGACCACCAGGGAAGACCTCCCATGCTCTCTTGAACAAGCAGAGCAGAAAGGGGCTGGGAGGGGTCCTGTCATCAGCACCTAGAAGATGCTCCATCTGAAGTCAAGGACAGGGATGCATGTGGGCCGGGACCCTCTCTGCTTTATCCTCTCTCTTCCTGTCCTGAGGCAGAGTGAACATGGCCCCACGTTCACGTGGTGTCCCATTCCCCAGCTGAGCGTCTCTAACCTACCTTGAGCCACAGTCACCCCAGGTCCAAGCAGGTCAGGCCAGGGGCAGGCAGGGCCGCACAGTGCCAATGCAGCCATCAGGGGCCAGCTCCAGGGAGTCATTTGCGGGTGGGAGAGGGCAAGCAATTCCCAGAGGAGCGGGGGGCTCCCCAGGCTCGCCTCAGACCACGGTCACTACCTCACCACCTTTTCTCCCTCCTTTCAGGCCGAAAACGAGGACGGAGCCCAGGAGAACACCTTCTCCATGGACCCGCAGTTGGAGCGGCAGGTGGAAACCATTCGCAACCTGGTGGATTCGTACGTGGCCATAATCAACAAGTCCATCCGTGACCTCATGCCAAAGACCATCATGCACCTCATGATCAACAACGTGAGTGCCCGCCCCTCCGGGGCCCGCCCCACCCTGCAGCCAGATGTGGCCTGAGCACACTCTGTACCAAATTAAAAGTCAGGGACTTCCCTGGCAGTCCAGTGATCAGGACTCCGTGCTTCCACTGCAGTGGCAAAGGTTCGATTTCTGGCTGGGGAACTAGGATCTCGCATGCTTCATGGCCAAAATAAAGGCAAAGATAAAAATTAAGAGTCTCACCACCTGATTCAAACATCACAATCAGGACCCCCTAGCCTATCTTGGGAAATGGGAAGGTACAGGCCACCTGGCCTACACCCCCGCTCAGTTGGGTCATCGAAGCTACCACCACATGTGTGCACTTTCTCTGAAGTTTTTTAGCTTTATAGTAACCCTAGGAGAAGGGACTGCTGTCATCCCCATTTTAGAGACAGGAAAACAGAGGCCCAGAGAGGTTAAGAAACCTGTTCCAAGTCACTCAGAAGGGTGAGAGGTGGGATTCAAACCCCGGCTGAGTCTGTCCCCACTGTGGCCTCTAATGGCCTATGCCCTGCCTGCCTTCAGCCTAGGGCGTTACCTGCTACCCCAGGCTTCCGAGCCTCTCGGGGCATCCAACGTCTCTTGAGTGAAACATAGCTACGCTAATGTCTCCTGCTGCAGGCCTGCTGGGACGGCTCAGGCCCTGGGCTCAGCACTAGGCACTTAGCTGTGTGTAGCCCAGGTTCAGTTTGTCTGGTGACTATAAGAGCTCATAGTAGGACAGTGCCTAAAGCAAAAATCTCCTGTCCCTTCCCTTTCACTCTGTTCTTCCCAGTCTCCTCCTCATGGGTGTCCTGGTACATTCTTACATATGGATGGGATTGGCAATATATAGGGTGCTGCAGGTATGCAATTTTAAATGCATGTATGCTTTGATCCAGCAATTCCACTTGCAGGAATTTCTCCCCACAGAGACATTTGCCAGCATGCAAATTGAGCACATGCAGGGTTATTCTTTTCAGCATGTTTTATAATAGCCAAGAAATAGAAATCTCTATCCATTTCTTAGAATTCGTTAAGTAAATATCCATTTTATTGCAAAAAAATACCCAAAAACAAAAGGATGAAAACTTTTTCCAGGTCTGTACTAACTTTATTAAAGTGAAAAAGGTATAGAGCATAACAGAATGATCAAGAAGGCTCTATTTGTGTAAAAAGAGACAGGAAATCTTCTCTATATATAATATGGAATATTATAAGAATCTGGAAGTTTGTACAGGAACCTAGTGACCCTGGAAGGGGAACTCAAGGGACCTAAAGACACCAGAGTGGACAAAGGAGATTTTTCACTTAAAAAAAGTGATACTTTTTTCCCTTTACTTGTTTTTCAAAATTTAAATGTTTGAATAGCTAATGCATTTGCATGGTTTGCAAATGCAAAACTATCCAGCACTTTGTGTGTGTTGAAAGTTCATTTGAGAAAATCCATCTAGATATATATTCTTTTTCATGTTCTTTCCCATTATAGTTTATTATAGGATATTGAATATAGTTCCCTGTGGTATTTACAGTAGAGCAGTGTTGTTTATCTATTTTATATATAGTAGTTTGTGTTGGCTAATCCCAAACTCCTAATTTATCCACCACCACAACCACCAGTGTCTGTTTGGTAACCATAAGCCTGTTTCTGTTTTGTAAATGAGCCCATTTATATCACATTTTAGATTCCACATATAAGTGTCTTACTCTCTGTCTTACTTAATATGATGACATCTAAGTCCATCCATGTTGCTGCAAATGGCATTGTATCATTCTTTTTTTAATCATGGAGTAATATTCTACTCTGTGTGTGTGTGTGTGTGTGTGTACCACATCATTATTCATTCATCTGTTGATGGACATTTAGGTTGCTTCCATGTCTTAGCTATTGTAAATAGTGCTTCAGTGGACATTGAGGATGCATGTATCTTTTCGAATTATAGTTTTCTCTGGATATATGCCCAGGAGTGGGATTGCTGGATCATATGGTAGTTCTGTTTTTAGTTTTTTTTTTGTTTTTAGTTTTTAAAAGAAACTCCATACTGTTTTCCATAGTGGCTGCACCAGTTTACATTCCCACCAACAATATAGGAGGATTCGTTTTTTACACACCCTCTCCAGCATTTATTATTTGTACACGTTTTGATGGTGACCATCTGACTGGTGTGATGTGTACTTCACTGTAATTTTGATTTGCAGTTCTCTAATAACTGGTGGTGGACATCTATTCTTAACAAGACAATTGTAGGAGGAGACTTTGGTTACAAGATCTCATGTATCCATCGATTCAATATTTCTGTCTCAAAGCCACTCTTGCCCTTAATGGGGAAGCTCTGGAAGCATCCCTTCCAAAATCAACAAGTTGGCCATTTCCATTCTTATTTAACCTTCTTGTAGAGTTACTAGCCAATGCATTTAGACAAGAAAAATAATTTAAAGGTGTGAATGTTGAAAAAGAATGGGAAAAATTGTCCTTATGTAAACATGAACTTGTGTACCTAGAAACTCCAAGAAAAGTAACTGAAAAACTACTATAACAAAGTATAAAGTTAATGAACAGAAACTAGCAGTTTTTATTTTTTATTTTTATTTTTTTTAAACTAGCAGTTTTTAAACAAAAGTCAGTTTCAAGATATAATGGGAGAAAAGAGCTATTAAAGATAAGATTCTAGGAATAAGTTTCACAAGAACCTCATGATTGAAAGAACACTGGCAAGCACCCCTGAGAGACCCAGGAGACAACCGAGTAGAAAGCTCACCTCCTTATAAATATTGCCCATGTTCCGTAGTAAAGCTAAAGACTTTAAAGAAGAGCATGGTGAATGCTCTTCCAAGCCCATCACAGCAGCTGGCTGAGCTCTTGGCTGGTGTGGTGGGAACCTCTGACCTCTCAAACCCTTGCCCCCAGACGAAGGCCTTCATCCACCATGAGCTGCTGGCCTACCTATACTCGTCGGCGGACCAGAGCAGCCTCATGGAAGAGTCGGCCGACCAGGCCCAGCGGCGGGACGACATGCTGCGCATGTACCACGCGCTCAAGGAGGCGCTCAACATCATTGGGGACATCAGCACCAGCACTGTGTCCACGCCCGTGCCCCCACCCGTTGATGACACCTGGATCCAGACCACCAGCAGCCACAGGTCTGTGAGGCTGGATTGCCCACCGGCTGCAGAGGGTGCTGCCTGTGGGTTCTCAGCTCTGCCCATCCCCCCCACCCCCATGTGTCCATCAGGGCACAGCCATGGGTGGCCAGGGTGCGGGGTCCCTGACCACAGATAGCACAGCACCCAGGGCTGGCCGTAGTGTGGTTCTGCCACCCTGCCTAGGCCTGAAGGGGCAGGGAGAGAAAAGGGTTAGTGGCCTGCCCATCTCCTGATGCCTTCTATTGGTTAAGGCCAAACAGAAACCAGAGACGGCAAGGGGCCTGGGCAACCCTGGCCATACAGGTGAGCCTCCTAAAGCACAGAGCACAGCTGAGAACGGCTGGTAGGAGAGGACCTAGAGGGACACGTGGAGGGCGAAACCAGCATCCCCAGCCCTGACCACCTAGAGCGGAGGTGCAATGAGGCCCTGACATGGGCATGTCAGAGCCTCGGGCAGGGACACCTGACCAGTAACAGGGCAGGTGGTGGGAGGAGAGAGGATGGCCCAGAGAAGTCTCAGAAGGTGCCGAGCTTTCCAAGCCCTCAGGGAGCTATGAGTTCCTTGGAGAGCAGACCGAGCCTCCAGCCTGAGATGCAGCACCCAGAGGGGAGCCTGTGGGGCGTGTGGGACAGGGGCCCATGGACCTTACAACCTCTGGAGGCATGCTGGGCTCTGGAAGGATTTTTGGCTTCAAAGGGTGGATTGGGGTCAGTGGGGAGGCTGGAGTGGGGCCAGTGAGAGGGAGATGCCGGAAGGAGTGAGACCAGAGGGAAGCAGGAATGCTTGTTGACCGAGGACAGGTGCTGGGCCCTGGCCCAGAGCATCTGTGCTGACCTGCCCAGGACCAGCTACTCACTGCTTCTGGCTGGGTGGTAGCTGGTACCAGCCTGTGTTACAGAGGAGGCCACCCTGGCCAGTGCCCTGGCCCCACCTTGGGCTTCTGCGCCCACACCCATGTGGCCAGCGCACCCACCCACCAGCTTCACCTCACACCTCTCCTCCCTCCACAGCCCCACTCCGCAGCGTCGGCCAGTATCCAGCGTGCACCCCCCAGGCCGGCCCCCAGCAGTGAGGGGTCCCACCCCGGGGCCACCCCTGATTCCTGTGCCCGTGGGGGCAGCTTCCTTCTCAGCGCCCCCGATCCCGTCCCGGCCCGGCCCCCACCCTGGCGTGTTTGCCAACAACGACCCCTTCTCGGCCCCACCTCAGATCCCATCTCGGCCGGCTCGGATTCCACCCGGCATTCCCCCTGGAGTGCCCAGGTAAGGCTAGACCCCCTTGCAGCCTGCCACCTAGAGCCACCCGCCTGTGCCCTGTAGGGAGCAAAGAAGTCACCAGCATCCCTGTGGGGCTCATGGGGAAACTGAGGCCCCAAGAGGCCTAATTCACAGAGCAGCGGAGTCCAGGCGACTCCCAAGCTCCCTCACCCGTCTACATGAGCAAGTGGGCCCCCTTGTAGCTCGGGGCCCCTCCCATGGGACCCTGTCTTCTGGTTTTGATTAGTTTCCTTTCTGAGGACACGCATATCAGGCGCTGCCCATCCCCTGCCCTGCCTTGCCCCTCCCTGCCTGCCAGGCTCTTTCTTCCCCTTTTCTCCCGTGAGCAACCTGTGGTCCAGAGTGGACGCAGGTGCTGATGCCCCGGTTTGGCTCATTCCTTCCCAACACCAAAGCTGCCATCATGTAGCACCCTGGTGGGAGCTGGCCTACCTGTGCTCATCGACAGGGCTTCCCACCACACCAGCCAAGAACTCAGTCAGCTGTTGTGATGGGCTTGGAAGAGCATTCACCATGCTCTTCTTTAAAGTCTTTAACTTTACTACAGAACACGGGCAATGTTTACCAGGGGTGGGGAAGGTGGGGCCTGGGTCCTCGGCCTTGCCCGGCTTCCGGCCTCACTGCCCTCTTCCCCTCCTGTCTTTATTCTCTTTGCAGCAGAAGACCCCCTGCTGCACCCAGCCGGCCCACCATTATCCGCCCAGCCGAGCCATCTCTGCTCGACTAGGCTGCAGGGGTTGGGGGGCATGTTCTTGGGAGTCCTCGAGCAGGACCCTTGGTGTAGGAGCTTCGGTGGTCTAAGCCCACCTGCCGCCCCTGGCCCTCCCGTCCCCAGGCAGGACCAGGCTCCCTGCGGGCAGCCCCTGGTTCTTCCCTAACTGTGGCCCCCATCCCCGACTGGACACAGCACTGAAAGGAGGCCCCTGGAGCCCCAGGATGAGGGGTGCTGGGTTGTTGCACTTTGGGAGATGGGGTCTCAGGTACCAGAGGAGACAGCTGCATCCTGAGTGCCATCTTGAACAAGGGAGCCAGGCTGGCGTGGGGGGCGGGGTTCACCCCGGGGGTTCTCTGGCCAGGAAAGCCTGAGTGGACCAGGCCTAAGAATCAGCACCGAGGTGTCCCTGCCCCCGAGGCGTCGCTCTGCTTCTCAGCAGCTGGGGCTCCCAGTGGCAAGTCAGGCCCCGCGGGCCCAGCACTACCTGCCCGCCTGCCCAAGTTGTACATATTCCTTCCTCGGCTGCCAGAGGTGCCTTTGCCAGGTCCGGAACCCTCGGCCCCGGCTGACCTCTCTCATCCCTGGGCACCCCCCTTCTCTTCCTGGGTTCCCAGGGCAGCCTGGGTTCGGGGCTGAATGGGATAGGGAAGCTTGGGGGGCCCTCTGGGTTCCCACCCAGGCCTCCCCCACGGGTCAGGCTCCGGGCGGCCTCTCCGTGAGCAAACCTTCTCGCTCGCTCGGTTTGACCACTGTAAGTGCCTGCACTCTGTATCCTATTAATAAACTAAAATAAAGGGAAGACGCTTCTGGTGGCTCGTGTGTGGGCCTTTTGTGTTGCCATTCAGGCTGAGGGGGTGGGTGGCTGGCCTTCTCTCTGCCCCTCCCACCACGGGCCCCCCCGCCCCCATTCCTCACTCACAGGGCCTCGGGGCTCTCAGGTGGGTGGGTTCACTTCTAAGGGGGAGAGCTTTTACTTTCCTAAACACCTCAGGAGTAGAAGCAAATATTCCCCCTCCCCCCATCCCCACGTGCTTCCCAAGTGGCACTGGTGGTAAAGACTGCCTGCTAATGCCAGAGACATGAGAGAGACCAGTTCAATCCCTGGGTCAGGAAGATCCCCTGGAGGAGGGCATGGCAACCCACTCCAGTATTCTTGCCTGGAGAATCCCATGGACAGAGGAGGCTTGCAGGCTACCGTCCATAGGGTTGCAAAGAGTCAGACATGACTGAAGCGACTTAACATGCATACACACACTCCATCCCCACACACTTGGCTGGAGCCCCTGACACAGCGCTGATAACAGGCCAGGATGGGGAATTGGGACAGGTGTGTGAGTTACTGAAGGGAGAGGGTATCCTGGCCGTCCACCTTATACTGTGCAGCGGTCAGGCTCCTCCTCACCCCCACAGTCCTGAGGGCTTCCCCCTTCACCTTCTTGGGGGCACAGGCCTTCCGGCCCAGCCCTGGTCACAGTTAAACTTTGCTTTCTGATTTTTTCTCTTGTGCCCAGGCGACCACCTCCATCGGCTCCTGCCCGGCCTTTCTTCTGAGCTTCGTGGGAGACCCCTCCCGCCTGCCCGGCTGCCCTTGGGGGCAGGACTGTCCTGGCTGGTGTCCCTGAGCCCCAATCACCAGGCACTGTGATTTTTTTCTGACCATAATTTATTGACTCTAGTGCCCAGACCACCCTTTGTTCCAGGAGGCTCCCGTGCAGGCTTGAACTGGGCCATTCCTTGGCCCCATCTGGGGCCCCTGCAGGGAGAACAGGAGGGCCGGGTGGTCTTGCAGACTCCGCTCCCCGAGTTCTGTAACCAGACCTCACACCCAGCCACTCCCCGCTGGGCCAAGGGGCCAGGCCCCTTCCTGTCAATAAAAGTGACTGTTCTGGCAAGAACACTGCAGCCACGTCTTGTTCCCCTTGGCCCCTGGCACAGCAGGCCACCACAGTAGCAGCACAGGCCTCGGGTGGAGCCACAAGGAGAAGGCAGGCAGGCCTAGGATCCCGCAGCAGTCAGCCCCCTCCTATCGGGACCTGACTTGGAAGGCCAGCGGGAAGAGAACAGGGAGTTTGCTTCCTGGGCCCGGTCCAGCACTGCAGAGGGCTGGCGCAGACTGGAAGACTGGCTAAGGCACATTACAGTAGGGGACAGAGGCAGGGCCAGAAAACCCCAGGTTGCCTTCGAACCCTGCAGTGCCCCCCATGCACCGTATCTAGGAAAACAGGTGCAGCCACTGAGCCATCCCTCCTGGAGGGACCCACACCTGCAAGCCAGCCGGTGCTCCCCACCCAGGCCTGAAAGGGTGGAGACACGGCAGGTGCCCCACCTCAAGGCTGGAACTACACAGCCTCCCCTTGGGTAGGAAACTGAGTTGGGGAAGGGACGCCTCTAAGTCTCACATGCATGCGCCCTGCTGCCCCTCCTCTCCCCTGTTCTCCACAGCAGCAGGCTACGTAGGCACAGGCCGCTTGTCCTGAAAGAAGCGCTTGAGTGTGCAGACTTGCAGCACGGCCACAAGCAGCAGCACGGCCACGTTCACGGCCGACCAGAAGTTGACCCGCTCCAGGTTGCCTTCTTGCAGGTTACGGTCACGTGCCTCAAAGGCTCGCAGCAGAGTCAGCACTTGGATGCTGCGCTCCAGCCGGGTCCTCATGGTCTCGATGGACTCCTGTGGCAGAGAGGGGGAAAGGCAAGGCTTTGTCCTGCAAGATGGGAGTGAGGGTTCGTTTGTGGGGGAGAGAGGGAGAGAGCTGAGAGCACAGATTCAGTGGCCAGGCTGCCTGAGCCTCAAGCCCTTTGCCATTCACTGGCTGTGTTACCATGAGCAAGTAAGCAACCTCTCTGGGCCTCAGTTTCCTCCTCCGAATTAAACCTCAGGGTTGTAGGAAATGAATGCCCAATTAGGCATAAAGAGCATACTAATTAGTAATTAATAAAAAGCAGTAGGTGAAGCCAGACTGCTTGGGTTCAAATACTGGCTCTGTTGCTGGCTGTGTGGCCTTAGGAGAATTACTTAGCCATCCTGTTCATCAGTTTCCCCAACTGTAAAATGGGAGATAATTAGAGTACACTCCCTATATATAGAGGGCTTCCCTGGTGGCTCAGATGGTAAAGAATCTGCTTGTAATGTGGGAGAACTGGGTTCGATCCCTGGTCTGGAAGATTCCCTGGAGAAGGGAATCTAATCTAATACCTAATCCAGTATTCTTCCCTACATATACAGTGGTTATGGAGACTTCATGAGAAGTCTTAAACCTTAGAACAAAGTTTATACCTAGAAATGTTCTACTGTTATTAGGTTGGGGGCACCAGTATGTAGGGGGCTTCCCAGGTGAGGCTAGTGGTAAAGAACCTGCCTGCCAGTGCAGGAGACATAAGAGAAGTGGGTTCGGTCCCTGGGTTGGGAAGATCCCCTGGAGAAGGGCACAGTAACCCATTCCAGTATTTTTGCCTGGAGAGTCCCATGGACAGAGGAGCCTGGTGGGCTACAGTCCACAGGGTCACAAAGAGTTGGATATGATAGGAGTGAAGCAATTTAGCATGCAGGCACCAATATGGAGGAAAAGCGGGGTCAGGCCCAGGCAGACCCCAGCCAAGGTGAGAGGGCAGGGAGCAATGCCAGAGATCTGGAAGGAGTGGCCCCAGCTCTCCTGGGCGCACCTTGATGTCCTCCATCTTGACATCCAGAATCTCCTCAGGCTCCACAGCCTCTGCCCAGCCCTCGACCTCCTCCTCATCCTGCAGGCTGTCAAAGATGAGTTCAAAGAACACCAGCTTCTCCGAGATGGTGCTGAAGGAGTTGTCAAAGCACAGCTTGTAGTCCCCGGCCTCCGTGGGCTCCACCCTGGGCACACAGACACACAGGACCCTGAGTGGCCGACCAGCAGGCAGGGTGGTAACCCGAGGCCGCCGGCGAGGGCAGGGCTGTAACTGAACCCGGACAGCCAGCGGGACTTAACTCACGTGTGCACACCGTCTGCCTTGCGGGACTCGCTGACCAGCAGCACTCCCTGAGGGCTCTCGAGACTGAAATCCACGTCCAGCCCAGCACCTCCGATCACCTAGGGGGCAGGTAAGAGCAGGATAGAGGGCTAGGGCTAAGCCAAAGGCACCTGCCAGAGAAGGTCAGGGCTAGACCGACCCGCATAGACCCATACCGACCACCACCCAGAGGTCTACCTGAGTTCTGACACCTACACCTTCGAGCCAGTCTAGCCCCACTCCCGTCCCTCTGGCGCGCCCCTTGCCTTGGCTCCGCCCCCACTGATTAGTCGCCCTCTCTTATCTGGCCACGCCCCCCATAGAGATCACCTCCCGACTAGGCCATGCCCCAAATGAGATGACGGAGCCCTGCCTTCTTTCCTTAGCCCAACCTCCGAGAACTTATCAGGTTGACCACACCTTTTTTTGTATAGCATCCTGGTCTTCCCTCCCAACTCCCTCAAACGACCCAATCGTTTTGACCACGCCCACTCGCGACGGTCCTGCCTTCTGACGGGCTCCCTCGTTCTCCCGATGGCCCCGCCTCCCCGCTGTCCCACTCTAGCCCCGCCTTCTATTCCCACCCCTTCCGCTCCCACGCGCTGTCCCCGCCCCCCGCCTCGCGCTCTCTGGCTCCGCCCCCGAGCGCTACGCTAAGGCTCCTCCTCCTTCCCTCTTCAAAGCACACAAAGCATGCTCTGGTTTGGCCACGCCCCACCTCCCTGCCTCCGCTCACTCCCCAACCCGGGACCCTGTACCTGGTACTCAGTCTCAAGGCTTGCGTTGGCCGGCGCGGACTGATAGAAACACTGCTTCCGCCCCGCAGGCAGCAGGAACGTGAATTCGCCGTCCTGGATCGGCGGGGGCCCTGCTCCTCCCACGCCCAGTGGCGGCAGTAGTAGCCACAGGGCCAAGCCTAAGGCCGCGCCGGCCGCCATCATCCGGGTCACTCTCTGGTCTGCTAACCGGTTGCGGTTCCTTTAAGGAATAGCCCTGTCCCCTGTGCTGTTCGGCGGAGTTCATTGGCAGCCGGTTCTGTCCGTTATCCGAGGCCCGCGGAACCAGGAGTGAAGGACCCCGGAGAGCCTAGCTGCCCGAATGAATGCCTGATGCGCCTGAAAACACTCGATCATTTACAGATTTTTTTTCTTTGTAAAGCCTCCTTTCTAACCTCAAACACTGTGGGGAAAATTACAAAAATAAGACCACGATGGTACATTCTCCTCAGGCAAAAGTTAAGACAACTGTGGTGGAGGCAGCTAGGTCCTGCGGTTTTCCCAAAGTACCCCGCGCGCGACGACTGTCGTTCGAATCAGTCTGGGTGTAAAGTGTCGAAAATAGAAGCAGGGAGTGTGCCTGCACGCTACCCGTAGGGCTCGTGTGTAAAAAAGCTCAGCTAGGGTGGGTGGAGACTTTTCTATTAACGTGGGTTCTTGCCGGTCTCAGGCCCTTGAGCTTGGCCCCAGGTCCGATGCCTAATCCTTCATTCCTTGACGCCTTAGAACCGTCGCTTTATCAGTCTCCTTGTTTCTAAATCGGAGGTGATGAGAACTGAGATGAGGCCTGGCCCATAGTGAGCTCTCTGCATTTGTTACATATTGTTTGCTCCGGGGCCTGGGCTAACCCTGCACGCGAAAGGTCTCAAACTCGACTGCCCAGGTGCTTAGCGTCAGCAGAGAAAAGCAGAGTGTGGGCTTTCAAGGCAGATTGCCTAGTTCAAACCATGCCCCATGCGTTACTTGAGGCATCACACTGCTGGGCCTCACGGGATGATACTAGTCCTTGACTGGGCTGTTGTGAAGATTAAGTAAAGTGATGTTTATTTAGTGCTTGGTTTGTCCATAGGCCCTCAGTAAATATTAATTTATATTCCAGGTTTATCGCCTTGCTTTGGGCATGACGCCAATTAATCTCTCATTCTGGTTCAGAGAATTTGGAGGCAACCTAAGCAAACAGATAAGAAAGATGTCATTGGAGAATCAGACTATGGAGATTCCATTTAAACATAAGAAAAAATGTTCCGCTGACAGTGTTGAGTTGTTCAAGATAGGCCTGAAAGAGGTTGGCAGGTGGTGACAATTATGCTTTGAATACAGCTGGTGGCTGTCAACTACACATTTGGAGAGCTTGGGGAAATAACACTTTGTAATGTCAAAGTTTATGTATGGTCATGCTTGGTATTCCTTTTGCCAGAGGAGGGCAGGAGTACACCACAAGGTGTGTGGGTGTTCCTTTACTGTTCCAAGTTTTCCTGTCATTCAGAGTTAGTAGTTGAACATTTTGAAGTAGTTGTGGAAAATGGGTGATAAATTTTTGTTAAGGATTCTTTTTTAACAAGGGGAAACTCACATTAAAAAGAATCATTTTAAGTAAACAACTCAGTGGCGTTTAATTCATTTACAATATTGTACAACCAAACTACTTCTACTCACTTCCAAAACATTTTCATCAGGAAGGAATCCCTGTACCCATTCATCAATTATTCCTCATTCTTTCCTCACCCCAATCTGGTGATCAATCTGCCTCCATGGATTTGCTAATTCTGGATATTTCATGTAAATGGGATGTTTGACTATTAGTGTCTGCCTTGTTTTTCTTAGCATAATGTTTTTAAGGTTTATCATCATATCACTATTTAATTCTTTTTTACAGCTGAGTAGTATTCCATTGTGTGGATATCTATTGGATGCTTGGGTTGTTTCCAATTTTGGCTATTGTGAATAGTACCTCTAGGAACCTGTTTGTATATGTATTTGTTTGAGTATCTGCCTTCAGTTCTTTGGGGGTATATACCTGGGAGTGAAGCTGCTGGCTCATACGGTAATTCTATGCTTAACTGTTTGAGAAACTGCCAAACTTTCCCACAGTAAAGTTGCACAATTTTACATTCCCACCAACCATGTACAAGGGTCCCATCCCAATTTTCCTACATCCTCATCAACATTTGTTATATTCCATTTTAATTTTAGTATATTCCTTCTAATGTATATGAAGTGGTGTCTCATAGTAGCTTGTTTGTTTGTTTCCTTTTTGAGGATGAGCCTATTTTATTGAGGGGCATCAAGGGAGGGTCTTAGGACTTGGAGGACAGTGAGATCTAACATCCTTCTCCTAACTGGGATCTCCTCAATTTTACAGTCACTGAAAGCTCAGTGGGTAGGTTTGTTTTGTTTTGTTTTGTTTTGTCATGCCACATGGCTTGCAGGATCTCAGTTCCCTGACCAGGAACTGAACCGTGGCCACAACAGTGAAAGCCCAGAATCCTAACCAGTAGGTCACCAGGGAACTTCTAAAAGCTCATAGTGGTTTTAATTTGTATTTTCTTAATGATACTGAGCATCCTTTCATGTGCATATTGGTCACTTGTATATCTTCTTTGGAAAAATATCTGTTCATGTCTTTTGTCCATTTAAAACTTGGATGTTGTTACTGTTGAGTTATAATATTCATATATTATGGAATGAAAAAGGAAGAAAGAAAACCTCTCCTGCTCTTTGCCAAACTCTGCTGGAGCACATCAATACTCCATCTGGGTATTTATAACTCTGCCTTAGCCTTCTCTTCCTATTTGCATCAAGCCTAGAAATTGACCAGAGATGAAAGAAAGGTCTTAGTAAGTCTTTCCTGATCATCTGTCCTGCTCTGGGTATGCACATTGCTCTCTAATTTCCCCAGTATATATGGGTGCTTTTGAATGCCTTAATTACCCAAAGAAACACCCCAGCTTTTCCTCCCAGCTTTTGCCGTGTATGTTACTGTCGTCCATTGTAATCTTGTACACCAGAGAGCTGTGAGTTGTTCCTTTACCTTACAGTGTTTTCTAGGAATACGTTCTGAGTTAAAGCACATTGAGTCAGTCCCTCAGGTTACCCCCAGACATGCTAGAACACACACACACAATACTGTGAGAATGAGGGCTGTTCTGCTCCCTCCGAAACTGGGAACCGGGGCCCCATGCTGAGGACACAGGCGGCTATCTTCAGATCCTCCACTGTGCTGGGCTAGGAGATGAGGAAGGGTATGGAAAACACCACAAAGCTTTCCTGCCACGTTCAAGTTGCCTCTTCTTGATTTGCATTTCCTTGGTTGACATAAATGTTTAGCTGTTTTCCTGAGTTCAGATAAAATTGATTTTTACCATTTTTGCTCAATTTGTTGATGTTTTGGATGAGATACAGGCCTATAGAGCTACGAACCCCACCTTTTTCACTGTTATCTGGGGTGAATGGGTGATTCTTGTTTTCCCTCGATTAAGTAAAATCCTCCCTCTCCCCCAGGATTCAACAAAATGTACTGGGTAGACACTACCAGTGTCTTGGGCGCTATCATCTCAGTGCTGCTCCACTAAATGATTTCAGACCCTCAGAGGTGCTCAGAAGTCAATGCTAGGGGGGTAGGTAAGGTGACTTATTTCACCTAGGTGGAGTCGGGGAGAGCTTCCCCAAGGAGGTGGCATTGAAGTTCAGATTTGAAGTAGTCGGGAGAAGAAGAAAGCAGAAAAAAACAGTTCTCTGACATCAAAGGCACTGAGAGAGTTCAAGGGGCAGAAGGGGGATGAAGGTGGGGTAGGTGGGAGGAGTAGCCAGAGAAGAGATGGGACTCTTGGGCAGACAGCCCGTCATACAAGGCCCCTCTTCCCTTTGTGATGTTGGCCCAGAGTCTTAGCCGGGGGTTCTTATGACCGTGGGGAGTTGGCCGACTGGCTTCTGGAGGTCAGAGATTCCCCTGAAATTATAATCAAAAGATTACAAGAGCGTGTGCTGGGCAGTGTGTTTTCCCCACCAGAACTATTCTCTACCATACTCTGTACTGCTTCACAGTGGGGGCGGAGGGGCGAGGGGGGCTGATAATCTCCACACTGGATCAATGTGGCTGCCTCGCTTTCCAGTTGAGTTTGGCCCTGGTAGGATATCTAAAGGCTGCAGGAAAGGAACGTCTAGGTATCTATTCCCTGGCTCCTATCTTTTTAGTCTGCATCTTTCGACAAAAGCCTGTAACTCTAACTCTCTCCAAGTTCCAGGACCACTCCCCCTCCAGCAACTTCAGGCCTGGCTGCTAACAGTGACCGTAGGAAGTCACCGTCCCTCATTGCTCCCCTTTCACCCTGCTCATGACTCCTCAGCTCTGTCTCTTAAGGGCATGATCTGTGTGACAGCTGACCAATACAGGTATGTGTATCTGTGTTACTGAATTCAAAATTCCAGGTTATAGATCCCTGCATCACATCAGATGCTCCCAGATGAAGTCTTTACTTACATCCAAGACCCTGTCCCCCTCTACCTACAATGCCCTCCTTCCATCTCCTTCTCAGGCTTTCAGAGTCAGATGTCACCTCCTCCCAGAAACCTTCCTTGAACTTCCTGAAGCTGAGTGAAGAACCTTCCTCAGCGACAAACTCTTAACATAGCACTTTACCAACCGGACTGTCACTGTCTGCTTGTCTGACTCACTGAACTCGGGGCTCCCAAGTGCAGGAACTGTTTCATGGCATCCCTGGTACCCAGGATGGTTCTAAGCCCTGGTGGCATAAATAAACCAAGTATCTCATACACACCCAGAAAAAGCCACAAAAGTAGACTGAGGGAATGTGTTTTGGCTTTCAAGTCAGACAAGCCCAAAATATTTATTGTTCACTGTGTGCCAAGCACTGATGTAGGCATTGGGAAACTGCAGGAGATACCACAGGCTCCATCTCTGTACTCTGGAGGAAGATATCTGGATGAATCCAGTAAATTCAAGCATGTTCTATGAACCATGCTGACCTAATCTAATTGATATTTACAGAATATTACACCAAGCAACGGAGAAGGCAATGGCAGCCCACTTCAGTACTCTTGCCTGGAAAGTCCCATGGACGGAGGAGCCTGGTAGGCTGCAGTCCATGGGGTTACGAAGAGTCGGACACGACTGAGCGACTTCACTTTCACTTTTCACTTTCATGCATTGGAGAAGGAAATGGCAACCCACTCCAGTGTTCTTGCCTGGAGAATCCCAGGGACGGCGGAGCCTGGTGGGCTGCCGTCTATCGGGTCACAGAGAGTCGGACACGACTGAAGCAACTCAGCAGCTTCACTAGCAGCACAGCAAGCAACTGCAAAGTGCATTTTCATTTTTTGTGCACATTGTATGTAGATATATACTGGCCACTGAAAAAAGTATTGGACTTCCCTGGTGGTACAGTGGATAAGAATACACCTGTCAATGCAGGGGATACCAGTTCAATCCCCGGCCTGGGAAGATCCCACATGCCTCGGAGCAACTGAGCCCATGTGCCGCAACTACTGAGCCCACTCACTTAGATCCCATGCTCTGCAACAAGAGAAGCCACCACAGTGAGAAGCCCTCGCACTGTGACCAAGAGTAGCCCCCCGATCGCCACAACTAGAGGAAGCTGGCAAGCAGCAAAACTCAACACAGCCAAAAATAAATAAATGAAGTGCCAGTTAAACATATGGTAACTGGAAGAAAGAACAAAATAAAGATAAGACCATGAAGCAATGAAATAGAAAACTGAAAATAGAGAAAAACAACAAAGTCAAAAGTTAGTACTTAGAAAAAGATTAAGAAAACTGAATAACCCCCAGCAAGACTAATCAAGAAAAAAAAAGAGAGAGAGAGAGAAAGCACAAATTACTCTTATTAGGGATGAAAGAGGAGACATCACTACAAACACTACAGACAATAAAAAGCAAACAAGGAAATATGAACAGGCTTATAGCGATGAGTTTGATAATGTAGATGAAATGGACAAACATGAAAATACACACATGCTAGTTGCAATCAAAGAAAATTACAAGGTACTATCCTGGAATTCAGAAAGGGGATTTTTCTAAGTTCAGAGGGATCTGGAAAGGTTTCCTTAAAAAATTAGAATTTAAACAGAGACATGGACTTCCCTGGTGGTCCAGTGGTTAAGAAACTGCCTGCCAATAGAAGGGGCATGGGTTCAATCCCTGGTCCAGGAAGATCCCACATGCCATGGAGCAATTAAGCCCATGCACCACAACTACTGAAGCCTGAATGCCCTAGAACCCATGCTCCACAACAAGAGAAACCTCCATAGGAAGAAGCTTGCACACCAGAACTAGAGAGTAGCTCTCACTCACTGCATCTAGAGAAAGCCTGTGCAACAACAAAGACCCAGCACAGCCAGAAAAAAAAACCACCCTAAGACCTGAAGGAGAAGTGGGATTTGACCAGGTCGATAGAATTGTGTTCCATGCAGGGATGATGGCATCCATTCAAAGGTCCTGAGGTTGAAATCAGCTTTGTGTATCCAAAGAAAAAAGTTGTTAATGTTGGCAACTACACACTTGCATCCTTCCTGGGTGTAAACCGCCAGGTGGGCCTGGTAGACTTGACCAGAAATATTTAGAGACCAAGGTTGGTAAGACAGACCTTTGGAAATTTCCTGGCTGTCAACAGGAGGCAATTTATGCTGCAAACAATGTCATTTCCTCCATTCTGGAGCTGATGTGGCCTTTCACCTGACTGGCGAAGCTCCTGAGATACAGGAGCTTGTGTGGCCTCACCCTATGAACACTCACACTCCACGAACCAATATACTTTGTCCCACAAATTCTTTGGAGCTAGTGTCTGCTACTCAGCCCCATTCTTCCAGGCGGCAAGCAGAGGACTTGCTAGGAAGTCCAGGAAGGACTGTGCCTTGCTTGAGGTCACAGAGGCCAAGCCCTAATCATCGTGCCCTACCAACTTCGACCGCACACATTTCAACTTTTTGGCACATGTTGGGCCACCTTTTGTGACTTGGAGCTGGGTTTCCCATACAACCCACATTCCCTGTGCCCACGTTCCTCATGCCCAGTTAGGGAAAAATAAACACACACACACACTGGACCATCTCATCCACCTTTTCCTCCCATCTGCTGAACCTGGGCCCCCAAGGAGCAGTGAGGTGCCAGGCTCTGATGTGTGTCTGTGGAAGGGGTGGGGAGGGGAGAGAGTCCCTTTCGGTGCCCACTGTGTGTGTGTGTGTGCAATTTCCTGCCAGTGAGGAAACACTCAGCTCAAATCAGCCCTGGTTCTCCTTTCCCTGCTCTGGCCTCACAGGAGGAGCTGGCAGCGAGCCGTGGGCCACCCGAGCCTCCGCCAGATTTCCTGACCAAACGCGGGAGGAGAGATGCCCTGGATTGTCCTGCTGCTTGCAGCTGGTGAGCTGATGTCCCTGCGCCACCCTTCGCCCTGTTCCGCTCCCTCCATCCACCACCTTTTCTCTGCTAGGGGGCGGCGGGGAGGGGTGCGTGCACACACACCAGGAGCTGGAGAGGCTGAGCCCTGACAGATTTGCCCCAGAGCCTTGGAAATGGCCCCGGAGCACGGACGTCTCTTGTGGGGTCTCAGTACCCCCACATCACAGGTATTAGAAATGCCACCCCGCTGGAGACAGCAGTGCCCACACCCCATGACTCAGCCCTGCTTGGCCTCTGCAGGTTTCCAGCTCCAGGACTGGGGCAGCAGGAGGATCTACTGGTGGGTCGGGGAGGGTGGCAGGGAAGCTGGACAAGGAAAGGCTTGTGTCGACCTCATCTGAGCCAGACGCTCCACACGGGAACCTGGGGTAGCCGGAGAGACACTGGTCCCTCCTGCAGGAAGCCGTGCCCTGAAATCGTATCCCTCATCACAGCCTGGGAAACGAGATAGAGTCACTCTCCCCTCGATCACCCCCACCTCCTGCCACCTGGACTCCTTGAGCACCCCACACCCCTTCCAGCCTCCAGCCTTTGCCTGAGATGCCTAGAATGCTCGCTCCCAGCTTTTCCGTACTGTGTCTTCAGGGAAGCCCTCTCTGGCTACCCCATCACCCTCATCTCCTTGAGAATGTCAGCTCCCCAGGGCAGGTATGTCTTGTCTGTTCATCTGTCTGTCTATCTCATCCACTGCTGTGTCCCCAGAGCCTAAACAGGGCCTGGCATGTGGTCAGTGCTGTTGATAGAAGTAATACGAGCGTAACTCTGATGCTGTGTAACATCCACGGCTATTATAATAAAATGACTCCAACAACATGACCTCTCACCACATGCTGGGCACTTGATCCTCTCAACATAGCAGTAGGGTAGGGACAACTAGGGGCTTCCCAGGTGGCGCTAGTGGTAAAGAACCTGCCTGCCAATGCAGGAGACCCAGGTTCGATCCCTGGGTCAGGAAGATCCCCTTGAGCAGGGCATGGCAACCCACCCCAGTATTCTTGCCTAGAGAATTCCATTCAGAGAGAAGCCTGGCAGGCTACAGTCCATAGGGTCACAAAGAGTCAGACATGACTGAAGTGACAGTGTGCACACAGAGGGACAACTAGCCTCCAGTTGTACATAAAAACCAAGGCCCAGAGAGGGTGAGCCATTTGCCCAAGGCTACACAGCCAGGCTGGCCTCTGCTCTAACCACCCACCTACCTGACCTCCCCATCTTGCTTCGCAGGCTCCTTGGCTATCCCGGCGCCATCCATCATGCTGGTGCCCCCACACCCCAGCAGTCAAGAGGACCCCATCCACATCTTGTGCATGGCCCCCAGGGGTTTCCCAGGGGCAAATTTCACGCTGTACCAAGGTGGGGAGGTGGTGGAGCTCCTGAAAGCCCCCAAGGACCAGCTCAGGGTCATCTTCAACCTGAGCGGTGGCAGCAGGGAAGCTCAAGGGGGACCGTTCTGCTGCCAGTATAGTGTGCTTGGCGAGAACAGGCAACCCCAGCTGTCGAACCTCAGCGAGCCTGTGCAAGTCTCCTTCCCAGGTAAGTCCCTCCCATCGGCCCTCACTGCCCGGGCTCCATCTTCTCATGGCCAAGCCGTTGTAGGCACTCCTCTCCGCCGGGGAGTCATCACTCTTCCAACTTGCCAGGACTTTCTTTTCCTTGTTTAATCCTCAGTCACCATATGCCATGGAGAAGGCAATGGCAAGCCACTCCAGTACTCTTGCTTGGAAAATCCTGTGGATGGAGGAGCCTGGTAGGCGACGGTTCACAGGGTCGCAAAGAGTCAGACACGACTGAGTGACTTCGCTTTCACTTTCACCATATGCAGTGGGGACAGTCATTCTTCTCATTTTCCAGATAAGGAAACTGAGGCACAAGAACTGAAGAGGCTGGCCTGGGTCACTCAGCCAGCAGGCAGCAGAGCTGGAGTTCCACTGGCCTCTGAAGTCCAGACGTTAAACCTCCACCCTTAGCTGGCCACAACATTTATGAGCACCTGCTATGCACCAGGCACTGTCTTTGGCATTTCAGGCTCAGCAGTGGATGAAACAAAAGTCCCTGCCCTCTTGCACATTATGAGGGGGTGGCAATGGACATCAGATGATAAATAAGGAGTGCTGTAAATATTCAGTCAGCTAGTGGGGGACAAGGGAAGTGACAGGGATGAAATACAGCCTTGTGAAGGGCATCTTTTTTTTTTTTTTTGGTTGTGCTACGTGTCTTGCAGGATCTTAATTCCCCAACCAGATAGGGAACCCAGACCCTAGCAGTGAAAGTGCTAGAGTCCTAACCATTGGACCACCAGGGAATTCCCAAGGGTGTCACTTTAAATAGAGAGGAGAGTGATCAGGGAAGGTCTTTCTGAGGAGGTGATGTTTGAGCCTGAAGGATGAGGAGCCAGCCACATGGCTGTCTGGGACAGGACGGAGCTGGCTGTGCAAAGGCCCTGAGGCTGGAGCGTGCCTGGTATGTTTGAGGGACGTGGAGGCACCCCATATGGCTGAAGCATAGCGAGCAAGGGGAAAGTGGGGAGGAGATGAGGGCAGGGGGAAGCAAGGAGGATCATGCAGGGCCTTGTGGCTGCAGTAAGGACTCAGGCTTTTTGTCTGAGTGCGACTGAAGCCCTGGGAGCGAAGATGTCCTCCTCTGGTCTTTCCAGGAGTGGGGGCTGGGCCTGGTCTTTGAATCAAGGAGCAGGAGGGAGGGAGGAAGGGAGGAGCCTCGGGGTAGACTCCCTGCGTCACCAACAGTCAGAACTTTCCTGCTGCAAAGAGAAGGTTGTAGTCAGCAGAGGCCCACTGGCTGTGATGACAGAACACTCTCTGTGTCCTTCCCTGGCCTCAAGTTCCACTATCAAAGGCCCCCTTCTCTCACCTTGGACCTGTGGTCTCAGAGTAGGGCAGTAACAGCGCTCCTGCCCCAGATGAAAGAATGAACAAGGGCTAACACTGAGAACACCCAAGTGAGCACCTCTCCTCCCCTCCTGGCTAGTTCCTGACCTCCACTGGGGTCCAGGCATCTCCTCCTGGCTCCCCTGAGAGATTCCTTGCCTCTCTCCAGGGAGGGGCAGCCAGATTTCTTGCAGAGACATAAACTCTGGAGCCAGGGCTTCATGCTTCTGTGGCTACCTCTGTGTGGGCCTCAGAGTCCACCATGTGGCTGGGGATGGATGTCTTCTGACCCTGTTCTCCAGCCAGCAAGACTCTTCAGACCACAAGTAACTGAAAACTGGACTCAAATTGGCTTCAGCAACAAAAGGGGATTTGTTGGTTTACTGAACTGAAATTTGTTCATGGCACTGATTTCCGGCATGGCTGGATCCAGGTTCTCAACGATGTCAGGAATCACGTGCCACTTCTCAGCTCTGCTTTCTTCTGTGTCTTATTCTTAGGCAGGTCCTCCCTCTCATGATGTCAGAATTGTATACCTTGGAGCTCCAGATGTATATCCTACCAGCTTTGCAATGCTGGCCGGAGGAGTAAGCCTCTTTCCAGAAATCTAGCCAAAGTTGAGAAATTAGTTTCATTGGCTCAACTTGGGCAATGTGCCACTCCCTGAACCAATTAGATTAGCCAGGGGTAGGGAATATGCTAATTGGCCAGACAGTATTGCTAGATCCCCAAGGTCCAGCTGTACCTAAACCAAATGTTTCTGGGGTATAGGGGGAGGGCTGGCTCTCTAAAGGTAGCCCGGATGTATGCCAGGAGTCCCACTTTCTCCCCGCACCCCCACAATTCCATGGCCTACCCAATCTCTCTTTTCCCCATCTTCCTCTAGTGCCCACCTGGATCCTGGCACTGTCCTTGAGCCTGGCTGGAGCCGCTCTCCTCCTCGCTGGACTGGTGACCATTGCCCTGATCATCAGGAAAGGTAACAACAGGCAGAGAAAGTGTGGCTCACCGGAACTTGCAAATGCACTAAAATGCGCTCCAACTCACACCCATTTTTAGGAACACAGAGGCACACAATTGGGAGTTCTTACTCCAAAAATTTATCAGTGAAGAACCTTTCAGAATTTCGATGATGGTGGTGGGCAGGGGAAATTCATATATATATATATGGTAAAATATACATGATGTAAAATTTGCCATTTAACTCTTTTTTTTTAATTTATTTTTTATTATTTATTTTTTAATATTTTTGGCCATGCCGTGGGGCTGGTGGGATCTTAGCTCCCCAACCAGGGGTCAAACCTGAGCACCTGGCAATGAAAGTGAACTGCTGGGGAATTCCTTTTTTAACAAAAATTTTTTAGTTTTTAAATTTTAACCTCTACTGCTCTACAACCATCACCACCATCCATCTCTTCATCTTCCTAAACTGTAACTCTGTCCCCATTAAATACCGAACCCAGTTACCCCTCCCCCAGCCTCTGGCACCCACTGAAATCAGTATTTTAAAAGATTTTTTTTTTTTACATTTTTGTACCTTGCTTGAAGGTTTTACCAACATATATTACTCATGTAATTGGGAGGGAAAAGTGTCTTCAGTAGCTCCCCTGTTGAGAGGGAAATTTGCCAGGGGAGAAGGCAAGGCTGGGTGGCAAATGTACAAGATGCCTTGTTGGTTTCTTCGCTTTTTGTAACCAGGACCAAAATCTAACAAATGCTTTTTGTTTGTTTGTTCCCAGTTAAAGTAAAAAACTTGCAGAAGAGACGGTGAGAACATCCCTGGAGACCCTCAGAGGGTAGTTTTTTGGGGAAAAATTTCAGCCCCAAGGCAGGAGTTTCTGATTGGCCTTGAAGAGCTGGCCGGCTTCTGGGGCAGAAGGGTACTTCCAGGGCTCCATCTCAAACAGTGCCCTCTGGTGGATGGGCGGGTTATTAAAAATAGGTGCTATTTAGGAAGCGCTTCCGGTGTGCTCTGCGCTGTGTGGGGGGGGGGGGGGGGGGCGTGTGTTACTCTGGACCTTGAGTTCACATTATCCTCACATCAGCCCTGGAAGTAGGCTCTATGAATGACCCCTTTTAACAGATGAGGAGACGGAGCCTTCCTCACATTCCTTTATCGCCAGTTGCCAAAATTTGTTGAGTAATCATTCTAGAAATCCATAGTGAGGGGGAGGCAAGTGGGTGTCCCCTGGTGTTGTGCGGCCCCCAATGTGTAGCCTGTAGACAGTGGCTCTGGTTCTTGGGTGTCAGAATCTATCCGCTGGCCCCAGCCTTGGTTTCTCCCCTCAGAGAGAGGGGCGAACACCTTGCTGCCTGGTGGCAGAGTAGCCCCAGTGATCAAATCCTGACTTCACCTGGCTGTGGGGCTCCTGCAAGAGAATTTCCATCTGAGGGGTTTCGGCGGGGCGGGAGGAGGTGGGTGGGGAGGAAGGATCAAATTTGGGGCCAGGGCTACCTGGAAGGAGCCTCCTGCCTAAGACATGTCATCACTTTCTCCCAAATCCCTCTGCAGAGAGCGAGAATCCTGCTGGGTTAACATCGCCACCACAGGTGTGTGCTTCCCTGATGCTGTCCCTTGCCCGGGCAGAGTCACTGCCTCAAAAAGGCCATCGGGCCTCACTACTCGCTGCTGAACCCCTTCTACAGCTGTTCACTTCCCTTAGAACCCAAAACACACGCTCCTCCTCTTTCCCTTCCTCCCCGCCCCTCATGTCCCTCCCAGTTTTCACCTCTCTCTCTTTTCTTTTTGGTGCAACCAGCTTTCACCTCTTACCTTTCCCTGCCCTATCCTCAAACCGTTCACTCATCCTCCGCTCTGCCTAGGATATTTTTCCTCCCTCTGTGGTCTCCATCTAAAGGTCACCTCCTCTAGGGAGCCTTCCCTGACTCCCTAGGCAGGATCTATTCTTTCTACTTACATTCCCCTAGCACTCTGTCATTCTTTTTAGCCCTCAGTAGACACACAACTAAGATCATTGGATGCTTGGGTGTATGATACATACCTCCAGAACTGGACCATCAGCTCCAGGAGGGTGGGGAGTTGAAGCTGTCTTGTCCACCACGGGGGCACCCAACTTTCCCGGTGTCTAGCACAGCACTTAATGGAGCCCCAGTTGTGGTCCAGAACGTGCTGTTCTGGCGGCTTCCACCAAGGGAGGCGGGGGCAGAGAGAGGGTCTGCCTGTGAGGTGGGATGCCCAGGAAGGGGCCCTAAGCAGAGAAAACCCCACTCTCTGTATACACTCTTTCATTGTTTCCGTATTCATTGAGCATGTGCTAAATGAGCATGTGCCTCTATGTGCTAAAGCCTGAGGGCTCCCGAGATAACCAAGGCAGAGGTGATTTCTGTCCACAAGCCTATACTCCAGTGGGGAAACAGCCCATGACAAGTTGGATGCTGTCTGGGCTGGGAGGGCGGTCTCCGGAGGAAGTGATGTTTAAATCAGAGAACTACAGGGGGGAACAGGGAGTAGCTGGGTGAAGGGCGGGCAATTAGTGGAGAGCCCAGGATAGGGGGAAATGAGAAGTATTCTGGAAAGCAGGAGTTGAGATGAGGCACCCATTTTCCGGAGAGCAGCTAGAGGTCACCTAGGGAAGAGTTCTGAGCAGAAGAGGGACACAGTTCAATTTGCAGCTGTTCACCCTGCAGAATGGGCTGGCGGGCAGACAAAGAGATTGCTAGGTGATGGACCTCATGCCCTTCCTCAGGGTAGATTTAGGGCCTGTGGGCTTGTGGGGAGGGCCTGGGAAATGGCGGGTGAGCAAGAAATCTGAACTGGCCCCCACCCTGGTCTTCTTCTCTTCCTGTTCCAGACATGTCCTTCGACAACTCCCTGTTTACCATCATGGTAAGTCTTCCCGTTTCTTGGATCCAGTTTTCTGCTTACGGTTCTGACCATCGGAAGATGGGGGCTACCAGCGGGGCTGGGCTGACCTGTTGTCCCTGGGCTTCTAGGGCCTGGGAAAAGCCCAGAATCACTGAGCGGGGCTTGTTTTTAAGCTGAGAGTTAGTTCTGGAAAATTCCAGGGGATTGGAGGTAGCCATGCTGTCCAGGGCTTTGTGGGGCAGCAGGCAGGCCCCTGGTTGTCAGCACTGCCTTTGCACTCACAATGGTAACAAAAGACGACCTGGGGGCTTCTTTGGAGTCATGGAGCCTTATGACAGTCTGGTATAAAGAAAAGACTACTTTCATGTTCAGCTTCAGGAATTTCAACTTAGTTGTCCCAGACATGTATTCCCTTTTCGGGGAGGAGGGTCTCAGCCTTCACACCCATCCCTGCTCCTCACCTCGTGTTTAGCAAGGCATTGCTCTCCCAGATCACATAGCATCCTGGCTAGCATTTGAAACCCGGTCTATGGCTCTCCTTTGCACAGTTGCATTTTGTGGTGGCCTTGGGGTAATTATTATTCAGTAAATTGGAGATATCTGACCCGTGGACACCATGGATGAAGACGATGTCCAGCTAGGGGAATACCCTGGCGGTCCAGTGGTTAGGACTCTGCACTTCCACTGCAGGAGTCACGGGTTCTATTCCTAGTTGGGAAACAAGATCCTGCAAGCTGCGGTGTGGCCAAACACAGAAACAAAAAAATGTCCAGCTAGCTTCTCTCCATGCAGAGATGGGTACAGGTCTGGGGTGCAGGTGGTCCCACTTGAGGTGGCCTCAGGAGTCCTGTTTGTATAAATGGATGCTTTGGGACTGTAGTGAGGGAGCCTGGGGTGGAGTCAATTGGCTTGGGGCACCACTATAGGAAATAGGGGTGGGGGGAGGGCTGGATGGGTTTGACATAGCCTTCCTGGGCATCTGGACAAGAACAAGATGAGACCCTTCATCTCCTGAGCTTCTTAATTCCACAGGGGGAGACAGACGATAGCACATCGGGTAGGGGGTGCCCAGGAAGCTAACACATTCAGATGGGAGATCTGGGAGGTCTAAGAGATAAGTGACAAGCAGGAGATAGCTGTGGAGGATTGATCCAGGCTCAGGGCACGTTCTCCACACGGCCCAGTAGAACTGGGGTGCAGAGGCGTGAGGAGTGGAGGGGGTTCCTGCGCAGAACTTTGACTTTTATCCCAAGTCAAGTGAGAGCCCTGGAAGGTTTGGAACAGAGACGTGACCCCGCTCTACGTGCCCACGGGCGCCCTCTGCTGGCTGCAGCGAGCACAAGCTGTGGGGGCCGCGGGCTGACAAGAACCCGGGGACCAGGCGCAGACAGCTCAGATGGTTCAGGCGTCAGACGTAGTGGGTAGTTTGGTCCAGCGTGCTGGCAGCGGAGGTGGAAGGCGCGAACAGATGCAGGTCAGATTCAGAGGATGGGAAACACGGCACTGATTTCAGAGTAGATGAGTGGGCGGAGGGAGGAGGAGGCGTGGCGGAGTCCTTGAGACAAGAGAGGGGCCACCGCACCCAGTGATGCTCCAGAGCAGATGGAGACTGGCCTCCGTCACTGGTATACAGATGGTGGGAAGGAAGGGGCTTGGCACCGACCTGTCCAGCTCTCTGAGGTCTCAGTTCAGGGAACAAGCTGTTAAGAAAAACCTGGAGGGTAGGGCACGTTCTAAAACCTTCCCTGGGAAGCCACACTGCTCAAGGCACTAGCCTGGTGATTTCTGCTTCCCTCTCCCCACTTTTAAAAGGCATTTAAAACGAAACGATGGGAAGACAGGAAAAAAAAAAAAAAGGAAAAAATAACTTATTTCTCAGTATCCTAGTCCTGGAGACTTTAAATATATACGTATATAGACTATGAAATACAACCAAATGTAAAAATTATCTGTAATCTATATTCATAAAGTTCTCTGCTATTTCTTAATCCCTCTGCACCCACTGGCCTCCACTCCGCACACACACATGCAGGTAAACGACCATTAGGAACTTCTTGCACATACAAGCAAGTAAAGGCAAAAATAGCAAGTCTGTATCCTCACTCTTTTTAACACAAATGACAGCATGCTAACCACACTGTTATGCACTGATGGTTCTTTTCTTTAACAGTAAGTTCTAGTGATCTTTTCTAGTTTTTTTTATAATCACTGTAAAATATAAATGAAATTTACCATTTTAGTTCATTTTTAAGTGTACAGTTCTGTGGCATTAAGTATATTCCTATTGTTGTACAACTGTTACCGCCATCATTCTCAGAACTGTATCTTAGAAAACAAACCCTGTCAAGGAATTCCTTGGTGGTCCAGTGGTTAAGACTCACCATTCTACTGCAGGGGGCGCAGGTTTAATCCCTGGATGGGGAACTAAAATCCCACAAACTGCGAGGTGCAGCCAAAATAAAACAAAACACAACAAAATTCTTTGCCTATTAAACAACTCCCCCACCTCAGACCCTGGCACTCACCATTCTGCTTTCTGTCACTTTGGTGGATTTGCCTTTCTGGATTTTTATAGAGAAATGATGCCATACAGTGTTCATCTTTATGAGTCATAGCCACCCCAGGATGAAGGGTACTGCCACTCTCCCCCATTGTACAAAAGGGGGAACTGAGACATAAAGAGGTCAATCACACCACTAGGAAGAGGTGTAGCTGGGATTTGAACCCAGGCTGTCTGGTTCCTTTTTCAGTAGACATCAAGACAGGACCGATGGCAGGATCAGGGGCCTGCATCTGTGTTTGTGTGCAGATGTGTCTGTGTGTATGTATGTGTAGGGGGGGCAGTGAGGTGAGACCTGATGGACTGTGGGAGTCTCAGCCTCAGAAAATGGGGCAACCCAAGACCCAGAAACCCCAAATCACTTCATTCTCTATTTTTCCCTCTACGGACAAAGAAAATGACTTCAGAAGAAGATGCAGCCAATCTGGATGCTCCCTCAGGCTCCACTGAGACACCTGGACCCCGGAAGAGGCCCACCTCCACATCATCCTCACCTGAGCCCCCTGAATTCAGCACATTCCGGGCCTGTTAGGGGAGCCCTTCTCTCTGTCTGCGTGCCCTCTGTTCAGCCCTCCCCCTGGAGCTGGCCAGGCTGTGTAGGGCCTCCAGCTACTTTGGGGACTTCTGGCTGCTGCTTTCTCAGGGAAATGAACAGAAGAGACAAAGGAGATTCCTACCCTTGGGACCTTCCTCGCAGAGCAGCAGAGTGGGAGAGGGGGTGAAAGCATCGACCTGGAGGCTGGACGGAAAGCAGGAAGCATCTCAGGATTTCCAGCTTCTCAACCCACCAGGGGAGGAGATGCTAGGATCCCTTCTGGCCTTTAGCTGGGCTGTTATGAATCTGAGCCTCACACACCCCTCTGGTTTCCTCCTTCCCATCGCACCTGACTTGGCCAACCTGACTGGGTTTTTGGAGCATAGGGTACCCTGGGTGGGGTATATTCTGTGTGCCCTGCTGGCATGCCTAAGTTATTAATTATAATGTTTTGAGCTGCTCCCAAGGTCTCTATGGAGTGTAGTCCTTCAAGGCCAGGACCTCTGCTGTCTAATCACTGATTGCTGGGGGATGGGGAGAAGTACCCCTCAAGTGCATGCAGTCAGGGTGGTGTCTGGGGAGGACCATGGGGGTGTCGGGAGAGGCGGTCTACATGAAGCAAGGGGCCTCAAGCTCCTTTGGAAACCCTGAAAGAGAATGGGGCTCTGGAGTAGTGGATTCACTGGCCAGTCATCACTGGGGGAAGGAAGAGTGAATGAGGGGGCCAGGGGATAATGGGGCGTCCAACAATTTTTTGTGGGTAGAAGACAGCGAAGGGCCAAGAATGGAGGAAGAGGGCACTGGGGGAAGGGGAAAAGAGAAGGAGCCGCTGAGTTCCGGAGAGGGGTTAAAGATGGGGTTCAGAGGCCAAGTCCTGGCTCGAACTGCTCTTCATGCGGGCCTGCTGGGGGTGGGGCCACAGGCTGGGGCGTGGTCCTACGTTCTGTCCCCACTCCAGCCCTTCTCAAGAAACCAGAGCCTCGCAAAGCAAGGCCCGGTGTCGTGGGAGCTGGACCGGTATAGGGGCGGGGCCTCTTCGAAGTTGGACCCCGCCCCTCTGCGTGCCGCTTCACAAAGCCGGGCGGGACCGGGGGCGGAGCCAAGCCTCAGGCGTCAGACCCGCCCCCGCTGTTTCCCAGGCAAGAAAGCCACCTCACACAGCGCTGCCGCCGGGGTGGGGCGGGGCCTGAGGGCGTGTCCGCAGGGCCGAGCACCGCCCCCTGGCGCGAGCTCCGGGCCCCGCCCTTCGTGGGCCTCCGCCGCCGCACGGTCTTACAAAGCGCGGCCGTTCGGGCCACGCCGAGCTGGGGGCGGGGTCCTAAGTCTAGGGGCGTGTCCGCGCGGCCGAGCATCACCCCTGACGTACGCTCCCACCCTGCAGTTCCTGGGCCACGGTGTCACCTCACAAAGCAGCGCCCATTCGCGCGGGGCGGGACGGGGTGAAGGGGTCCGGCCCCGCCCCCCTAGCGTGCGCCCGCCCAGCGCCCAGAGCCGCCTGCAGGGGGCGCTGCGCCACGGTGGCCGGGCCGCAGCGGCGGTGGCGGCGAGGCGGCGCGTGGCCGGCAGGCGGCGCTGCCCGGCTCGGCCTCGGCCTCGGCCTCGGCCTGCTCGGCGGCGGCGGCAGCGGCGGCGGCCTGGGCCCGTGCGCGGCGGCGGCGGCGGTGGCGGGGCCTGGAGCCGGATCTAAGATGGCAGCACCGGCGGCGGCGGCGGGGCCGGGCGTGGGCGGCGCGGGGGCGGCCGGCACGGGTGTCACGGGGCCCTGTGGGGCCGTGTCCGTGTTCCCCGGCGCCCGCCTCCTCACCATCGGCGACGCGAACGGCGAGATCCAGCGGCACGCGGAGCAGCAGGCGCTGCGCCTCGAGGTGCGCGCCGGCCCGGACGCGGCGGGCATCGCCCTCTACAGCCGTGAGTGCGGGGCCCCGGGGCCGGGCTGCGCGCGGGGGCTGCGCACGAGGCCTGCCACGGGGGGGGGGGGGGACCCTGGCCGGGAGGGACGCGGTGAGGTGCCTGGGGTTCCCAGGGTAAGGAGCCCTGGTCCGTGGGGGCCTGATGTAGGGTCTGTGGGGCCGAACCGAGGGAGCTGGGTGTGGGGGGGCCCCCGATTGAGGGGCGTGGAGGAACGGTGTCAAGGGGCAGAAAGAGAAAAGAGGGCGTGCGTGGTGGCCAGAGGTGAGGTGCCCCGAGTACGGAGGGAAGCGGGAAGTGGGGGAGTAGTGAGGGCCCTGAGATTGGGAGAGGGTGGGCAGGAAGTGGGGGGCCAAGAGTGGAAGGTAAGAATTCTGAAGAAGCCGGGGGTGTGGGGGCTGGGTGGGAGTGGAGGGGGCCTGGGCGTGGGAGAGATGGGAGTCTGGGGGCGGGTGTGGCCGCCGTGGCGGGGAGGAGGGAGGGGTGTGGACAGCCTTGGGCCATCCAGGGGACCCTCTGGACTGCTAAACGGTTGGAAAGTGGTGCCCACTCTGGGGCGGCCTGGAGGACCTGGCATTCCCGACCCCCAAGTGGGAAACTTCTAGATCTGGGGAGAGGGTCCCTGCGAGGGTGGTGCGAGCCGCTGGGTATGCGCCTCGTGGAAAGGTGGACGGCTGGGGCCCCTTCTTGATGCCCGGCTCCGAAGTAAGATGTAACAGTCTCCTCCCTCGCCACGGTTCCCCGATCTTCCTTTTTGGGGATGTGAGAAACTGGTTACATTTTCAGAAGCTAGTTTCAAAACTGACATTTTGGTATGGGGGGGAGAGAGATCTGAAATGTGTTTGCCAAGACCCCGCGTCTTTGTAGTTCATCGTTTTTCTTTCTCTTGTTACTCTTTTTTATCTGTTCTCTCTTGTTCTTATCTGTTCTCTTCTCATTCACATTTTGTTGTTCTGTTACACTCAGCTTTGTCTCTCCCAGTTTCTTGCTCTGATGTTCTCCAGGTGTCACTGAGAAGGCTTTTCCTGGCGTTGGTTTGTGTGAGCTTTTTGCCACTTTGGGCACGGGGTTTTCCGAAGGGAAGTGTGTGGAGCAGTTGGTTCCCACACAGAATTCCTCACACCCAGCATCACACCTCTTTTTGCTTGGGCAGAGCTGGTTCTTCTTGGACCAGATGAGGGGAGAACAGAGTATGCCAGATGGGTATCGGCGCTCAGGACAGACACTTAAGCTCTGAAGGGCCCCCCAGATCATAAGCACTGCCATTCATTCTACATACATGAATGGGCACAGCACCAAGGCATCATTTCTCAAACTAGGGTCTCAGGGCTGATCCTTAAAGGAGTTCCAGGGGAGCTGGTTTTTCTTTGGTAAATAAACTTCTTTTGATTTTAGGACAGGCTTAGATTTATAGAATTTATAGAATTACTAGGAAGATTGTACAGAACGTTCTCATATACTCTCTTCACATCTTTCTCCAGGAGAGGTTTTATTATTTAAATTGTTTAATGTGGTTTTTAATTTATTTTTGGCTGTGCTAGGTCTTCGTTGCTGCGTGGGCTTTGTCTCTCGTAGTGGTGAGCGGGGGCTGTTCTCTAGTTGCGGTGCTCGACTGCTTGCAGAGCATGTGCTCTCGAGCACCTGGGCTTCCGTAGTTGCAGCACATGGGCTCAATAGTTGTGGCTCCCAGGCGGTCAGAGCACAGGCTCAGTAGTTGTGATGCAGGGGCTTAGTTTCAAGGCATGTGGGATCTTCCCGAACCAGGGGTCAAACCCATGTCTCCTGCATTGGCAGGCAGATGCTTTATCACTGAGCCAGCCACCAGGAAAGCCCCTCCAGGAGAGTTTTTACTTTCCTGTTTTTGTTTTGTGGATACACTTGGAATTGTTACTAGTGATAATAAGGGAACACTTCTGTTTGGGGAGGTCATTCATAACTGAAGTGATCATCAAGAGGAGAAAGTCTGCATTTCTCACACTGAGAGTCTCAGTCTGGAATGACAAAGTCTCAGGGATCTGAGATAATTCCTGTCCCCTTTATGCTCAAGTCACCCTGGCATGGACTTGAGAGCATGGTCTCTGGTCTTGGCTGAGCCTGGTTGTATTGGTTTCCCAGGGCTGCTGTAACAAACGGAGTGGCTTAAACCAACAGGAATGTATTGTCTCATAGCTCATGGGCAGAAGTCCAAAGGCAAGGTGTTGGCTGGGCTACACGCGCTCCAGAGGCTCTAGAGGAGAATCCTTTCTTGCCTCATCCAGTGTCCAGTGGCTCCAGGCATTGCTTGGCTGGAGGCCACAGAAATCCAGTCTCTGCCTCCATCTCCACATGGCTGCTCCCCTGTGTCTCTGTCTTTCCCTCTAAGGTTACTTGTCACTGGATTTAGGGGCTTCCCAGGTGTCTCAGTGATAAAGAACTCATCTGCCAATGCAGGAGACACAGGAGATGCCAGTTCAATCGTGCATTGGGAAGATCCCCTGGAGAAGGAAATGGCAACCCACTCCAGTATTCTTGCCTGAAAAATCCCATAAACTGAGGAGCCTGGCGGGCTCAGTCCATGGGGTGGCAAAGAGTCGGACATGACTGAGCGACTGAACACGCACACATGAATCCGGAATCTAAATCCAGGATGATCTTCATTCAGTCAGTCATGGGTGCTAAGTCATGTCTGACTCTTGCAACCCCATGGACTGTAGCCTGCTAGGCTCCTCTGTCCATGGGATTCTCCAGGCAGGAGTTCTGGGGTGGGTTGCCATTTCCTCCTCCACGGGATCTTCCACCCAGGGATCGGACCCACGTCTCCTGCATTGGTAGGTGGGGACTTTACCACTGAGCTACCTGGGAAGGCCAGGATGATTTTAGATCCTTAATTATGTCTGTAAGGATCCCTTTACCACGTGAAAGTCATATCCACAGATTCTGGGGGTTTGGGCTTGGGCATATGTTTCGGGTCTTCCACTGTGTGGGCTGGACTGGTGCCCAGCAGGTAGTTGGGGGCCTCTGTGCCTCGGTCTCCTGGGTGGCAGGATTGAGGTGATGACAGGACTTGGTGGCACAGCATGTTTGCTCAGGGAACGAACTCTTCTTCCTTGGAGGCAGCCTCTGCTCCTCAGCCTCTGAAGTCTGCCAGGGGAGTGCAGAGTCTCGGATGGGTGAGCAGGCTGAGCCTGCTGGGCGTGGACGGCTGGCCACGGTCCCCTGGGAGAAGGCAGAGGTGGTCTTGCCTCTGGGGGGACTTGGGGGCAAACTGTGTTGTTGGGAGCCTCAGGCCTTCTCTTGGAATGAACTTCCATCCTTGGACTCAGCGTTTCCCAACCTGGACCCTTCTGGGACCTGGGTGCTTTGGCCAGGTGAGAAGGCTTCAGGAACCCTGTTCTGTTCACCTGTCCCTCATGAGGCGGGGTCCTGTGAGCCACTGGTGGTCCCCAGATACCTGACATTCGATTATGTGTGGGGGCTCGGCTGGGGCGTGGGCCAAGACATCACATGAATCTCCCTGTGCCTCACACCTGGGAGGTGAGTCTTGAGCATGAAATCTGACTGGTGTGAATCACCAGCTACTCAGCCTTGAACTCGCCATTTCACCTGTTGCGATACCTGTTTCCTTACCGATAGTGACAGGTCCTGCACACAACCTCAGTTTCCTGCACTGCAGAGAGAATAGTGTCACTGGGGTCCCAGGAATATGGGGGAAGTGGAGCAGGGAGTCCGGCCATAAAGGGTAGGTTGGTCTACAGATGTTATCGCCGGTGATGCTATTGGTGTGGAATGGTGAAGAGCTGGCTTTTCTAGTAGAAAGTCCTGTATGCTGTGGGGCTGCCCAGCTGCCTCCCACCCTCAGCAGATGGGAGAGGGACCCCCCTCCCCCACAGGGCTGCCACCTCTGCCTCAGGTGGCAGGGCTGGGAGATGGGCTTCCCTGATGGCTCAGTGGTAAAGAATTCACCTGCCAATGCAGGAGACTCACAGGTTCAATCCCTGGGTCAGGAAGATCCCCTGGAGGAGGAAATGGCAACCCACTCCAGTGTTCTTGCCTGGGAAATCCCATGGACAGAGGAGCCTGGAGGGCTACAGTCCATGCGGTCGCAGAGAGTCAGACACGACTTACGACTGGACAACAACAGCAACAAGGACACACAGGAGCACATAGAGCCGCATTCCTTGATGTTTGCATCCTCCGTGTGGGAAAGAGCACAGTTGCGAAGGCTCTGGCTCAGTCACCCTGCGGTGAATGGTGACCCTTACCCACCCCACTCCCTTTTTCTGGCTTTGTGACATCTTAGTTCCACAACCAGGGATCGAACCCCTGCCCCCAGCAGTGAAAGCGCAGAGTCTAACCACTGGACCTCCAGGGAATTCCCTTCCCACCCCTTCTTGCCACTTGATGTCACCCTGGCTCACGTCCATGGCATTGGCTAAGTGGCAACTCCCATAACCGGACCACTCTCCCTGGGCAGAGGTGTGTCTTCCTGGGCCTTGAGGAAGCTTTGGCACGGCCCCTGGAGTTCCTGGATGCAGGCTGCCTGCCCTGCACTCTGCCCATGCCCAACTTGCCAGGAGGCAGCTCCTCGAGAAACCCATTGTGGGGTGGCTGGGGCCGTGAGCAGAACAGACTCAGTTCCTCAGCCCCGTGGCAGCCTTCCTGGAGATGACAGGACTGCTTTTTCTCTTGGTTCTCTGGCCTCTCCCAGCCCCATTGGCTAGGAAGGGACATACAGCAGGACCGGCTCTGACAGGCTAGATTTCAGTTTGTGGGGGGACCTGCCAGGGGCTGGAAACCCCAGAGAAAACCCCTCTGTGAAAACCAGCTGTAGGTTCCAGAATCAGGAACCCTGTGACTTCCTTCAGTCACGCTCCTGGTAGCCCCCACCCCCTACAGCTGGGGGCATTTGGGGTGGTGAGATCGTGGAAAAGTTGGTCCTGTGTGCAGCCTTTAGGACGTGCAGCGTCCAGCTTAGGAGCCAAAGGTAGTCACACCGGAAGGCATTTAACGTTTCCACGGTG